AGTAAAATATTAAAAATAAGATTATTAAAATATACGAAATATAACTATAAAATACCCTTTTAAAAAAAAAAAACTATATTTTATACTAACGTACCTAATAAAACCTTAGTACGAAAAGGCATTAAAAAATATTTAGCGGATATGCTATAAAAAGGATAAATTATAAAATCTATTTTATTTATAAAGTATTTAATATTTTTTATACCTAAAAAAAATAAAAACGGGAAACCTAAATAAAGATTTTGTATTAATTACCGCAAATTTAATAATATTACGATTAAAAATCGATACCTTTTATTTTTAATTAAAAATCTACGCGATAAATTATACGAAGCCTAATAATTTATAGCCTTAAATTTATTTAACGCGTACGGCTTAATACGAATTAAAAAAAAAGAAAAATAGAAAACCGCTTTCCGTTATAAATACGGATATTTCGAATATAAAATTATGCCTTTCGGATTAATTAACGCACTAATAAGCTTTTAAAATATAATTAACGATATTTTAAGGAAATACCTTGATAAATTCGTAATAATATATTTTAACGATATATTTATTTATTCCAAAAATTTTAACAAATATTAATAATACGTTAAAATAGTGTTATAAAAACTATAAAACGCGAACCTGCTAGTTAACCTAAAGAAAAGCGAATTCTACAAAAAAAAAGTCATTTTTATAGGATATATAATATCCCTTAAAAAAATTAAAATAAAATTATCTAAAATTTTAGCAATAAAAAATTAGCTTACCCCGATTTCGGTAATAAAAATTAGATTTTTTTTAAAATTTATAAATTTTTACCAAATATTCGTTTAAGGATTCGGAGGTATTACCGCATTATTTACGCATTTAATAAAAAAGGATATACCTTTTAATTAAATACTCGAAGCGTAAAAAGCCTTCGAAGCAATTAAAAAACGAATTACGGATAAATCCGTAATATATATAGCAGATTTAAAATAAAAATTTAAAATCGAAATAAATGCCTTAAATTACGCTATAGGCGGATAGCTTATATAGAAAAATAATAACGGGAAATTATACCTAATTGCGTTTTATAGCAAAAAATTTACGAAAAAATAACTAAACTATTAAATTTATAATAAAGAATTTATAGCTATTATCGAAGCATTTTAGGAATAGAAATACTATTTTAATAAAATTAAATATTAAATTAAAATTTATACCGATTATAAAAACTTAGCTTTATTTATTATTAATAAAAAATTTAATAAGCGATAAATTAAATAGGCAGAATTTTTAGCAGACTTTAATTTTAAAATAATTTACCGTAAAAGAGCAAAAAACGGAAGAATTAACGCTTTTAGCCGAAGACTAAATCATTTTTAGGAAATACTAAAAGAAATTAATACTATCCTTTTAATAAATAACGAAAAAAACCTAATATTAACTATAACTTTATATACAGCTATAAGGGTTAGTAACGATAATAATTGGATTAAAAGAATAACTAATAATAACGGAATATTTAATATATACGCCGATAAAATCAAAATTAAGGAAATATTACTCGACTAAATAATTAAGGATTACCACAAATTACCTATTAGTAAATATTAAAAAATATTTAAAATAATTAAACGAATCTAATAATATTTTAATTACCTATAGCTACGCAAATATATTAGCAATATTATTAAAAAATATAACTTATGCAATAAAGCAAAGTCAGCATAATACTAATAATATAAAAAATTATAACCTATATTACCGCTAAATAAAATATAGAAATTTATTATATTAGATTTTATAATAAAACTATTATTTTTAGAAAAACTTTTAATTAGGACCTTTTACGATAATATCCTAGTATTTATAAAACGATTTATAAAATACGCGTATTTCCTTTTATATAAAAAAGCTAATAATATAAAAAAATTAGCTTATATATTCCTTTAAATTATAGCTAATTAATACGGATTATTAAATAAAATTATTTTAAATAAAAATAAATTTTTTATATCGAAATTCTGGATATTATTTATTAATTAGTTAAAATACGACTATAAGCTTTTAATAGCTTTTTATTTATAAATTAACGGATAAATAAAACGAGCAAATTAAATATTCGAAAAATACCTTAAATACTACGTTAACTACGAATAAAATAATTAGGTTATATTATTATTATTCGCATAATTCGCATATAATAATATAATACGAGAACCTACCGGAATATTATTATTTTACGCTAATTACGGATACAAATTAGATATTACTAAAGAACCATTAAAAGGAAAAGAATTTGCATTATACGCGATATTGCGCGTCGAATAATTTAAAAACCTATAAGCAAAATTCTAAAAAACCCTTATCGCTATCTAATAAAGGATAAAATTTTAATACGATAAAAAAAAGATTAAGGGACCAATTTTTAAAAAAAGGGATAAAATCTACCTTTTATATAAAAATATTAAAATAAAACGATTAAGCGATAAACTCGATTTTAAAAAATTTGGATTATTTAAAATCGATAAAAAAGTTTCGAACGTTAATTACCGATTTAAGCTATTAAAAATTATAAAAAACCACAAAACTTTTTATATTTTATTATTTAAACTAATATTAAAAAACGCTAAAATTAACGAAATATTAAAAATAAAACTAAATTAGCAAAAATATATCGTTAAAAAAATTATTAATTATAAAAAAATCGGACGCGGATACTAGTTTTACGTTAAATAGGAAAATTACCTATTTAAGGAAAATATTTAGGAACCTAGGAAGCATATTAAGAATTATATCGCTTTTAACTAATACCTTTAGCTTCGATAAAAGGACTAAAATCTATAAAGTTATTTCCGAAACTAAATACCGATTAATCGGGCTCGTTAAGGATACCTAACGATTAAAGATCGTTTATTACGAAATATTCGTAATTTTTAAAAGCAAAAAAAACCCTATTTTCCTTATTTAATTCCTTTATATTATAAGCGAATAATTCGGAATTATAAGCCTTTATTCGTATTTTAATTTTCCGAATCCGAAATAACCGATTAATAATAGCCGCTAAAAAAAATTAAAGCTTAGCTATTTTTTCGTAAAATTCTAAAAAACTATTATTCGCTTCCTTTTTTTCGGTTTCTAATTTTCGCTATTAATCTAAAACCTTCCGGAGCGTAAAAGCTATTAGGATATTATCGCATTTCCGGGAAAAATACGCGATATATTTTAGATAACAAATCGATTTTTTATCCGCTATTCGGCAAAAACGCTTATTTTTAAAGCAAAACGTATACGGTATATTTATAATATAACCGTTTAATTTAATAAAATTAAAAAGCTTAATTCGTTTACGAGCTTTTCGTTTTTTCGTTATTTCCGATAAAAATTCTAATATAATAAATATATATTATAAATAAAGCAAAAAAAAATAATAAAAAAGGGAAATAAAATAATTACGGCATATAGGCACTACGATTTATTTAAGCGGCCTAAAGTCTTTCGAAGATAAAAAATATAAAAAGGGAAGCTAATATTACAAATATATACCTTTATATAAAAATAAATAAATATATTAGCGCTTAAGGAAAAAAGGAAGGGGCTTAGCACCGAAAGCCGGGAATAGGTTAAAACGGGAACCACTATCCTTAATAGCTATTAACCAGCTGCCTAATAAAATTATAATTTTAGCAATAATTTAAATAATTAAATTATTAGAATTATTAAACTCTATCGACTCCAAGGCCATAAAATCGGCTTGGCATTATAATTTAAAGAATATTAGTAAAGGAATAAATAAATATATATTATAAAAAGATTTCTTATATAAATAATTATTATCTTAATAATTAATTTAAGCATTTATTTTACTTATAAGTAAAGCATTTAATACGCTTTAACGATTATATTTGTAAATTAGTTCGATTACCCTTATTTTTAGATATTTATTGCTTAATATTTCTTTTAAAGCTATCGTTCCCTATTAGCATAAACCCCAACACCTTTTATACTTCAGGTTTATTCTAGAAACCCGTAGTGTAGTTGTTATACTAAGCAGCTATTATAGCGCTTTGATTATTTTTAGTTAAAGTGCTTTGGCTAGTAGTGTAGGGTTTTGGGTGACTTTTAGTGCTAGGTGCTATATTGTAATAAAAGAAGCTATTTATAATATTTTTTATATTAATTATGGTGCTATTATATGGGAAATTAATGGGGATTTAGTATATTTAGTATAAATAAACGGATCTGGCTATATGGGTTTAGTTAAATAAAGTGTATAAGACCTAATTGCCTCCTATAGCCTACCGGAAATAGCCGTTAAGCCGGAGGTCCCGGGGTCTGATGCTTTTATCCGTTAAAACGAGAGTTGTACCCATTACTTTAGTCAAAGTCAACTTTCCACACATAGTGCATGTCCAAAGAAGTACGTACCAACGTCTTTTGACACTACCACCCACCTAAACTGATCTGCATCAATGACTTTGGGTACAGGTATCTGTTTTGTTTTTCGGTCGCGGATCAGATATATAACATGCAAGGCAGGATCGTTTTTTTAGCCAATGCAGACAATATGGTGTATTGACCATTACTCGTCTTGGCTGGTTGATGCTCAAACCACGCACATCCGACAAAATCCATGCGTTACAGACAAAACAAGAACTCAAGAAATGCGACACTGAGCAATCACAAGTCGGAGCCTGATCCCAAAATATCGTCTCATTATCATATACACGCATATACTCTTTTATCTATACAACGGGGAATTAAACGACCATTTGATCCGAGGTCGAGGATGGAAAGCGAAGGTATTGACCCATGCCTGTCCAGAACACAAAAACTTTGTGATTTCTATGATACAATCAGATCCCGCTGCCCATGCCAATATACAGGTTAAGAAGATTGCTAGGCGCCGATGATGATATGCTAGTGTGCTGTATTGAAATTCCTGGCCATGCCAATAGACAGTGCAGAATTGCTCAATCGTGGACGCACATTGATGGAACTACACAGCCCAAAGTCACGACATGACTCTATTTGGCCATGACATCCACATATCGACCACTCTTTCTGGGCTTCTTGCCACCGGGTTTACGTGGCCCTGCTGCTCCTAGGAGGTCATCAATGCTGCTAGCATTGCTGAGGCTAGTTGAAGGACGTGTAGGGGGTGCGCTTGAAATTCCAGGCGGCGCAAGAGTCGGTGGTCCATTGCTGTCTGCCGATGCGTTGCTCATGTTGCTCATGTTGCTAGCACTACGCAACATTGGCGGTGCTCCGCCCAGCGCAGGTCCTGGCGGGGTCAAGTTGTCCATTGACGCCATCTTGGTGAGGTTGCTCACACTGCGTGGCATTCCCATGGGAGGACCGGCCATAGGTGGGGGAGGTGTACCAGCACTCCTTGGTGGAGCACTGCTGCTGGATCCTGGAGGCGGCGGCGTGCCATTTCGCGATGCCGCCCGGGGAGGTGGTGGCGTAGCTGCTTTCGCAGCCGTGTCTTCTGCGCCAGCCTTCTTGTTGATCCATCGTTTCTGGTCAGGATCATAATAGAAACTGCTTGATTCTCCAAGCTTTGCGCGGATTGGCTTGTTGGCTGGCATCTCGGCCTCCTTCTTGGCGGCACCACCTCCACCAAACCATCCGCCCAGCCAACCCTTCTTCTGGGACTTGGCCTCTGCTGCACGTTTTGCTGTGTTCCAATTAGCATTACATAATAGATTGCGAGATTTGTGAGACACCTACCTTCTTCTTCGGCTACCTTTCGGAACATCTCCTCGTTCTCCCGGTCCTTGTCCGCCTTGGACTTGCCTTGTGGGGCACTTGGAGCAGCTTTCATTGAAGGGAAGTCGTCATCGTCATCGTCCATGATGCCCTTCTTCTTTGGCTTTGGCTGATCTTCTGCCTCTTCACCGCCTTCTGGGTCAGGTTCGTAGGAAGAAGTAGGTGGCTCGTAGGAGTACGGTGTGTAAGTAGGGGCTTCCCAACCACTGCCGGATGTGCTCTGTCCTGCTTCCTTGTCTGCAGTATCGGCAGCTGGAGTAATTTCGGCAGCCTCACCCAAGTGAGTACTGGGCTCGTCAACCGTCAACGGCTGGAACCCACCATAAGATGGCGCCGGGTAGCCATTCGTAGTGGAGAGATCGTTGACCGCAATCTCGGGTTTGGCCTCCGTAGCCTGCGTAGTATTGCTAGCTGCGGGCTCTGGCGCATCAACCGGTTGATAGGGAGAGTACGATGTTGCTGGCTCTTGAACTGAAGCAGGCTGATAGGGGGAATAGGGGCTGGCAGACGCTTCTGATGCAACAGCAGGTTGGAAAGGGGAATAATTGGTCGATGACTGGGGCGTCACAGGCAGACCGTTGCTTGGCGTGAAAGGGGTGTATTGAGAGGCAGCGGCAGGCTGGTAGCCTGTCGATCCAGTGTTGCTTTCGAGTGATGAGCCGCCATACATTGGTGGAAGGGTCTCCGCAGCTGGACGAGGTAATTCGAGTGAGCTTCGCTGGGGCAGTTCCAAGGAGCTTCGGTGGTATTCCCCAGAGCTTCTTGGGGCGTAAGTGGAATTTGGTTCATATGAGGAAGCCGCACGCTGGCCCAGGTTGGGAGCGTAGCGTGAAGATACTTGGCTCGCCGCAACATTAGGAGAAGGTCCACCAAATGTCTCAAAGTTGTTTACTGATGGTGAACGACTGATGGTTGGCGTGCCACCACCAATTCGTGCAAATGGTCCCGATTCCAATCCGGGCTCTCCAGGAGATGCTTGGCCAGCACCCTGGGCATCGTCGCCAGAGACAAACTTGTTGAATTTGTCCCACATGGAGTTTGATACCTGATTCATCGTCGGTTTTGAGATCCACGAAGACCCACCTTCCTTTGGTGCCAACTTGAGTCTCCCCATAAGATCATCAACAGCTGACATCAAGGCCGGGTGGTAATAGGGCGACCTCTTTGTTTGTGCCGTGACTGCGTTCATGATCGATTCGCAGTATGCCAACGCCTTGTCCCTGAAGCCATACTCGGCAAGAGTAATGGCGTGCTGCAGCTTGTAAGCAGCCAAGTGGGGGCAGCTTTGCTGTGTGCTTGAGCCGGAGAGAGCCAGACCAAATTCATATACTTCACTAAGCAGAAGAGCTTCCGTCTCCTTGGCAGATTGGTCAGCTTGACCCCGGTGGTCTGCGCCAACAAGGACAAAGTTGGAGCTCGGGTCATCGAGACCACCGAAAACGGCGTGCTTTCGAGCGAATAGGAAGCAGATATGCGCAGCCTCAGCTCGACCGTAGCCCGAGAGCAAGTTGCCAAGGGATGTTATAGCAACGATGTCATTGTTACTTCTGTTGCTCAACACCATGCCCAAGGTCTCGCGCCATTTGTCTAGGCCAGACAATGCATCGGCCGACTGGTTAGAGTTCAACGAGGTAGACATCAGTTGTAAGCCTGCTCTGGCATGACTGGGCACCAATGCATCAACTGATTCTTCATGGTTGCCAGAAAGTACACCATAGAGCGTAGCAAGCGATCCATTGCTGCCATTGGCGTGGTTGACTTCCTTTTTGATAAACTCCTGGGTGACCTGTTTGTAGAGATCACCCTGGACTGTGCTCGAAATGAGCATGGCATGGCCCCAAAGGCGCTTGTCGACCGCTGCCCAGGCTGCCTTCTCACGGTCACCCGAGAGAAGATGCTTCCGAATCTGTTCTACAGCGGAAGAGTCCACAGCGTCGGACTGTGAGTTGTAGGCACCCAGAGCTGCACCCTGAAGGTCTGCCATGGTGACAACGGGTGAATCAGGCTCGTCGCTGTTGGTTATACTCAATTCTGGAGAAAGAACCAGCCGAACTGCCTTTTCCACGTTCGTATTGCCCTCGAGAACACCATCATTTTCCACCATCACTCGTAAGATCTTCCACAACAAAATTCTCTCAATGGCACGTTTGTCTTCGTGTGAGACATATTGCTGGAAAGTGACATTCGGGGACTCCTTCTCGAGAGTCTCTATTCCATTAGAGAGCCAGGCAAGTACTTCCTTCTTCTTGGATTTCCCTTTCAGAGGCCCGGGGAACTTGCTTAACCGCTCCTCAATCGGGTGGACATCCTTGATGTGCTGCAGCTTGACTTCGCCAGGGCTCCGAACAATCATAGGCAGGGCCTGGGAGATACCATAGCGTGGTACATCCTTGGGGAATGAAGTGACCACGGTACCGCCCATACCCCACGTGACGGTCGGGGCGCCTCTCCATCTCTGCAAAGGATCAAGTTCGCGGCCATCAGTTGGCGGAACCATGCTCAAAACTTGAGACATTCCGCGGGCACGTGTGACTGGCGGGTTGGCTGGTACTGTCGAGGAACTTTGACGGGGCGAGATGGGGCCTTGAGCGGATGAAGGTCTAGGCATGGCCTCGGCAGGATTTGCAGAAACACGTCCATAAGCAGTACCGGGTGATTGCGTTTGCGATCTAGGCGGAGGGGCAAAATTCACTTCCCGCAGATGGCTGGACGGCTGCGGAATGGGAGCATAATTTGAAATAGTTCTCTTCGGAGGAGATAGTGTGCTCGCAGCCGGTGAAGACGTGGGAGGAGGTGTGCTCCTCGTTTGCTGGGGACTGTATCGTGCTGCTGATGGTATTGATTGTGGAGACTGCATTATTGCAGAAGGTGGAGCATCTTCATCAACCTCTGCTGTAGTCGGCAATGAGGGCGCCCGGGTGAGACGAGGCTCATACTGGGACGAAGCACTTCGGCCAATATGCGGCACTTGGCCGGCAGTTGGCTGTATTCCTTGCTTTGCTGCAAGACCATGTGACGCTTCAAACTGAGCCAGGGGACTCGACGTTCTGGGTTGATGAGCAAGAATTGGAGGAGGGACATGAGGGAACGTTCCGCTACTTGATCGACTTGGGGGAGCAGGTGAATATCGACTGGTAGCAGCGACAGGAGGAGCGATGTTACTTGAGGGAGATCCCTGTGGGGGTGCTGGAGAATAGCGGTTTGTTGCCGCAGGGCCTGGTCGGGGAGCAGCATTCGGCAGAGGCATGAAAGGGCTGCTTTGTTCAGGGGCTACCAGTCCGGCCATAGCGGGGGATGGTTGAGGTGGCAGGGATGCTATCGGTGGTGTCGACACTGGTGCCTGAGCGGCCATTTGCGGAGGGCCTTGAGGAGGACCTTGAGGAGTCTGTTGCGCAGTGGTCAAACTATTTTGGCGAGAAGCGGTCCGGGGTTTGGCGGACATCGGGAGCTCTTCGAAGAAACTCGACTTGGACGTCAGCTTCGGTGCCGGCTTCAAGCCTTGGGTTGGAAGATTCGACCCGCTCGACGATGGTGGCGATGGAATTGGAACCGGAGCTACGGAAACTGGAGACGGTTGACTATACATGCTCGTGGACCGAGTAGGTTGAGGTGGAGGCATCGTCGGAGCAGTAGTATTGGCGCGCGGAAGCTGTTGCATACTTGTTCGGTGTCTCGGAGGGCGAACAACATCCATGGGCAAATCATAAGGAGAAGCATAACCACCCTTTGCCTTGTCCGCAAAGCTTTGCGCTCTGGATACTTCAGGTTTCGGCGGTGCCGCACCATATGGCCCTGCAATTGGTTGAGGTACACCCACAGGAGCATACTGAGGTGGAACAGCCTGTTGTAGTTGAGGAATGCTTGGCGTCGAGTTGAATGTATTCAGAAGCGGCTGTGTCTGCGTGGGTAACGCAGCCGGAGTATATCGGCTGGTAGGGGCAGCACTTGATGGTTGAGAAGGAGCTGGTTCCTGCACGTGAGCGGTGCTTGGTGCCAAGTCTTCTTCGGCATCATCTTCCAGGAAACCTTCATCATCGCTGCCAAAAAATGCAGCTGGATCAAGCTCCTTTCCCTCCTCAGTATTCGAGTCCTCTAGGAGAAAGTCATCATCATCCTCGCCGAAAGCAGCTGCCCATTTGGCGTCCAACTCGGCAGGTTCCTCGGGCTGGGAATCTTGTGGCACTTCGGTCGGTTCGGGGTTCGTCTCTTCAGGGACTGGGAAAGTGGAATGTTCTGGCTCTACATATTCCGTCTCAGGAATTGTTGGCGTTTCCGGTGCAAAGGCTTCGGCGCCAGAGACAATATTCGTGAAAACGCTTGTATCTTTACGTTGTAGTGCTGGGCCGTCAAAAGGATCCTCGACTTCCTGCACTTCAACACCCTGGATCTGGGTGAAAAAGTCATCGTTGCCAGTGTCGTCCGCAAATGTAACATCAAATTCAGCTGATGTCTGAGGCTCCTCGTTTTGTACCGTCTCATCCTGGGGAATCAGTGGTAGGCCCTCCTCAAAACGAGCGTCAGAAGCAGCCTCTTCAGCGCCAATTAAGTCGCCGCCCAGGGGGAAGGATGCATCTCCCTGCTGATCTTGCACATCTGAGTCACCAAAGGTCTTCATGAAGTCCGGCTCCCCTGCTGATTGAGGCTCTTGAGCTTCATTCTCAATTTCTTGCATGATCTCTTGAGCCTGTGTTGCTGGGGGTGGCGATGATGACTGTTCCAAGAAATCTGGGACGTCGTGTTCCGCAGGCGGCACAGGGGGGAATGAGTTTGTCCGCTCGTTCGGAGCCATGAAGTTGAAGGGGTCGGTGTCGGTTCTCTGGATATTCCATTCATCGTCATCGTCATCGTTGAAGTTCACCTCGTGTGAGACTGTCCGTGTGAAAGAGATGGTGCTCGAGTGCTTTGCTGCATTAGATTGCGCAGGTGGCTCGACCCTAATCTCTGGTTCCTGTTCCGATTCCGTTTCTGGAGCTTGAGTCGGGGCTTCCTCGATTTCACCAGCTTCGGGGATCGCAGTATCCTCATCTTGCGGCACAGCTGCCGTGTCAGCTTTGGTGTCTCCAAGATCAAGATCCCAACCGCCAGCATCGGGGTCATCGCCAGCAAACTGATCGAGGAATGCGCCGTTATCTGCACTTTCGGGTTCTGTAGAGGTAGTCTCAGGCGGTATCATGTGGCTCGGCGCATCTGCAATTGTTTCTGGCTGCGCCTGTTCTACTGGTAGTTCTGGTTCTTGCTCCTGCTGTACTTGGGGTTCATTATCGTTATGTCGAGGTGCAGGAGTATCTTCGTGAAAGTTTGGCATCAAGGCAGGGTGCCACGACGCGCTCTGGGTATCCGACGCCATTGAAGGCGGTTTATTAAAGAGAATATCGCGAGTCGGAAAGGCCAACAGATGCGGGTGTGTACTATAGACGAGGGCGTTAGATGGGTCTGATGCAATTTTAGATGGCGCAGGACTGGACAATGCGCGCCGACATCACGACGAGGCCTGAGCAGGAATTCTCGGCCAACCTAGCCGTAGCCTACCTGTCGACTGCGCTACAACGTTTAAGGGGTGCTTTCAACGGAGGTGTTGCAGAGGAGAGACAGCTTACGTATACAAGAGAAACAGTCGGGAAAGCAGCAAAATATCGTTACAATGAAGATCCCATGCTTTTCGTCAAAGTCGCTCACTTGGAAGCAGCCAAAGATGGGCGCGATCGTATGAACAACCAAAAAAAAAAAAAAAGATTGACAGACGAGCTATCGGCAAGTTGGCAAAGTGTCAGCTTCGAGATGGACACGACACGGCATTCGTCAAACGCCAGATCCGATCAATGCGTGCGATTTGATCCCGGTACATGTAACTCAGACGGTTCGACCAACCAACATACATGTACCTCGACATGGACTGCGTCTGCATTAGCAGCTGCCCAGCTGTGTTTGGCACGAGGTGCAGTGGGTCAGGCCAGGCACTTTTGGCGGCTTCCGTTGGTGTCTAGCCCGCTGAGAGGAGCTCCGACAGTTGACCCCCAGTCCAGTCAGCAGTGAGTACGAAGGCATATTTCAAAAGTTTATCTCATGATCCGTGCACGCTCATGTGCGATTATTGCGTTACCTTTACCCTAGTACTGTACGGTGTACTTACCTCTATTAGAAGCCCCCTGGGTCCATTAGAAAAAGTCCCTGTTAAATGGTATTTCTAGGGCATACCCGCTAAATGATCTGCTGGAATATACTGCTGGATACTACCAATTTGAACCATAAAACGACGTCGCATCGATATTTTATTGATTTCGACGAAAAAAGGTCTCTCGAGATAATATTCTAGTACGTGTATAGTGATTTGAACTGGAAATAGCAGCTGCATCCGCTGCATTTGCGTAAAGGTGCTAAGTACCCTAGGAAATGCAGTAACGTTTTCGCACGGTAAGTCGTGCACGGGCCATGAGATAAACTTATGAAATATACTATCGTACAAGTCTTACTGGTCGCTTCCTGCCGTTTGGGTCGGTTGCAGCTCAGCTAGGCTTAATTGGTCTGGTGACCCCACTTTGAAGATCGACTCGGTCCATTGCGAACCCCCCGAGCCCCCTAAAATAGGAACCAAAAAAAGATAACAAGCCTGCTTGCGAGAGTGTTTTTTGTGCTCCTAAATTTTGAATTAAGAGTATGCTGAGCCTGTCAGAATGGATGGCGGGACGCACGCTTCTTTTCAACGTTGACTTTTACCATGTAGACACTCAACCTTACATGCATATGTGGCATTGAGCAGGTTCCACCTTGGCCTTGTAGCAACGAGCTTCGGATGCCACCGCTAAATTCGGTCCGCTTGTAAGCTAGGTAGGCAAAGTACTCTGTAGCTTCCGGATACATGTTCAAAGCTTTAGGCGTGTGTGCACAACGACTGAGCAGCAACAGTCATAAGACTTGATACAGACAGGTTGATCATACAAAGGCAGCAGGTTAGTAGGAGTCAGCTTGTGAAAAGCGTCATAGCCGTGGCTATTATATAAGAATATACATCTCCGCAAGGGAAGAAACAGATGATATAAGGTCGCTCATCTAAAGTACCTAGGTACTTTATAATACTGCTTTTACAAAAGGAATTCGCTCTTTAATTTCAATATTACTGCTAGTAATCCCTCGAAACCTCTTAGAGTCACGGCTTTTGTTCTTAAAAAAAAATGGCGAGAGAACTTCTCGTCTTTATATTATACTCAAATGTTGTCACTTTGTTGCTTGCACTGGTGGTCATGCTGGAAGTTATGGGTAACACATCAAAGGAAATACTCAAGCCTTACCTGCATACATAATGATTACAAGACACATTGATCTCGCTGGCCCTCCATTTAGCGGGCAATGTGTCATGTCGTCGACCATCATTATCATCAGGTTTATTTAAGCTTTGTCATTCATGCGAATTAGGCGTCATGCTTTCAAGCTCCCCCGCCGCGCTCTAGACATTCAAGAACCAAAATAATGAATGCTCGGAAGTCCTTCCCGTTTCTCCTTCTTGCCTCTTTTCGATTCCTTTATCCCCTCTTTCGTTTTTCAAATACACTCTTTAATTTGAATCGCTTCTGTCCATCATTTTGAACATCACATAAACAAGTCACTTTGGTTCCATGGTGCGCTTATCTCGAAACCGGTGCACGGAACCAGGAACTATACCATATCCGTACTCCATGATACGATGATTCCTGACGTACATGGTAAGGTCAAGTATGATGTTGATATAGTACTGCAACTATATCCAAGCTCCAATCGCGAGTTCAAATGCACATAGATATTTCTCATTAAGAATGATTCCCATTTTTGTAGGACAATGGCTTTTAGAGGAAAACTTTGAGTGACGTGGTATAGCAAAAAGCATCGATGACTGGAGCGGGGCGGAGATTGTCAACCATATCCCGAGCCTTCTTTTCACTTACATTGGCCGAAATTATTAATTGTTCCTGGAGCTTCATTGGGTCGAAAACTCCAAGGCTCATACATATAACATGCACCTTCCGGAGCTTGTCCGTGCTGCCATTTGGCATCCGTTCACGCTCGCTCGGTAGTTTATTGCCTGTCAAACTCAACAGCATTCAATAGAGATTATTGATTATGACTGCTTTGGTTGCAACAACAAGTGCGTCGGCGCCTGACGCTTGTGGTTTTGGTTATTATTCAAGCCTTAGTAGTTTGGTTGCCACCTATGCTCCGGCTCGAAGCGTAAGCATTGTCTTCACCATACATTCTCTCAATCGGTGCCAATGATTACCTACGTCTACCATGACTACTAACTGAACTATTGCATAGTGGTGCAATGCAAGATACCATCAGCAACCATATACAACGGAGATTACAGTAACAAAGGCTGCAACTGTGACAATTGAGGTCACGCCCACGCCTGGTGCCCCAGAAGCCTCGGTTCTTACCGTCACTGAAACTGAGACTGAGTTCGCCACACCAACTACGATAACAAGAAAAGAGTTCCCTACTCTGAGTGAAACAATAACTAGTGTGGTCACTACCACATCTATCAAGAGTGAAGCCGCGGAGATAGTCACATCGACAGCCACTGTCTGTCCCGCCACGACATCTACAGGTGTGTTAAAGAGGTGGGTGTATAAGCATGGCGGCAAGAAACCACCTTCCAAGCCATCCCGTGAAACGGATCAAAGTGAGTCGGACTCTCCTGATAAATCTTGCCTTGGAAGTAAGGACTGCGTCTCATCATTGATAGGACAACCTTCATACGACAATAATCATGGATACTTGGGTGGATTTGGCACGTATCATGGCGGAAGTGTCGTTGTTATCAACCCATCCGAGAGCGCTACTCTGGATCCTACCCTTTGCTCTTGCATTATTGGGGTCACAAAGACAGTCACAACTACATCCACGGGTGCAGCCTTTACAACTACCTTGACTGCTACACTACGGCCAATGGATCCAGCAGTTTCAACAACCACGGCAACTACGCGAACGACGATAAGGAGAGTAGTAATCACCACTTTAGTCTCGACAGTAACACTTAGAACTACAACCACCAACACAATCTCCACCACTGTTACCACAACGGTGCCGATTGCTACCGTAACGAGCTCAGAATTCACAATGGAGGCCCCCAGTGGAGGCGGTTGTGGCTGTCCATTCGCTGTCCAGTGCCAAATGGCCTTGCTAAGTTTCGACCTCGACGGGATACGGCCCGCAACAAACTATGCAGAGTGCATTGATATCTGCAACCACATACAGGAGTGTGTCGCAGCTGAATTCTTTAATGGAGGCTCCTGTATCACATACTATGAGTCTTCCTTTCTTATTGACGATCCCGATCGAGTCTTGGCAGTGAAGCAAGTGGATGGCAGCTGCAATCAATTCTCTGATACATGCATCTACGATGGTCCCTGAAGTTGCTACATCTTTCGTTCCCAATCTCTTTCTCTTTCTGGCTTTTTGTGTTATGGAATAAATTTATACTTGCTGTATGGTATCAATTTCAGATGGCCCAGATCATGCTGCGCGCAGATGACGTTCTTCATGCAAAAGCCGACATCCATTCTGTTGACATGCATAGCACTTATGTTGCAGTATACCATATGGATAATAGATTGAAAGACGGAGAGCTAAAAGTAAACCCCCAGCTTTCTGGGACTAAACTGGCGGGGCTGGTTCGTCCACCACACCACGGTGTAGAACGGTCATACTGCAATAGGCCATCCAGCCAGTTCGCAGTTCGGGACACCCAAATACCGAACCTTGGTCAAGTTTGTTCAACAACATAATGATCCAACAAATCTATCGACAAGAATCCATCTCTATCCTTCCTCATACATTTCGTGAAATGCCGCGTTGCCTCCGCTTCAACCGTAGTACTCCAATAACCAAGCCCTCAGATCCCCAACAGCGGGATACTCCAAGAACAAACTTCCACTGATTGTGACTCCGAGTGTCTCACGGAACTTCTCTGCAATCACCAGACTCATCAGACTGTCAACTCCAATGTTGGCGAATTGAACATCATCTTCAAGTTCCGAAACATCTAGAGCAGCCTCGGCAGCGACAAGGGCCATGGCTTTCACCGTGATACTATCTTCATTCACCGCAGCTGCAGCAACCGGCTCTGGACTCTTTGCTGCAGGCGCCGCAACAGCGTTCTCCTTTGTAGGGGGAGGCTTATCCACCACAGGGACCTGAGCCACAACCACTGCACTCTTCTTTTCGAGCGCCGGCGGGATCGCGGCCTTGACTGCCGGCGCGTGCTTCCCACCGTGTTTCGCGGCGTCGGGGGCGGAGAAGAAGCGGTCGAGCAGGAGTCGCGGGTAACGACGAAACTTGATACCACGCACTTGGCCAATGATTTTGTTGTCTTGAAAGATGTAAACATCGCCCAGGAACACGCCGGCATCTTCCTCTGTGGGGATCATTTTGACGTATGATCGGTACCTGGCACCGGCCAGGAGAGGACGGGCAAACCTCATCGACTCCCAGCCGGGCGTGACGCAAAAGTTATTGGCGGTATCGACGGCATCCGAGACATTCATGATGAAGCCAGCCAAATGAGCCACACTGTCAATGAAGAATGGCGGAACCGTCCATGTACCGCCCTTTTCCTTTGTCAACTCTACGTCGGCGAATGCTTCTAATCCATGGAGAACCACAGATTGCATCCCTCGATACTTGTCGGCATAGTCGACCAGATTACGTGCAAAAAGTCCATAGGCCATATTGCGGGAGAATCTGTTCGCCACTCCTTGCTCGGCAAGTCGCTCGAGTTCGTGCACTCTTCCCAGCACGAGATGTGTTGTTGGGATCCAGGACTGAAGCCAGTCATTTGCTTTGCCATAGAAGAGAGTGGCAGTAGCGAATGGCTCATCGAGGCCTCCATCAGGAAGAACATTGAACCAAGTTACTTGAGCAGTTCCAGAGCTGATGTCCTCTGTGGATATTGAGACCTGAATCAACTGAGGCACGTCGCGATTCTTCTGTGCAACTAGGCCTTTGACAACTTCCAGATTGGAGATGTTCATATGGATATCCTTGACACCAGGTTTGAGCTTGGTATGCAGGTAACGTCCTATAGTGTATACAATATCGGCATGAATTGACTGTACATAACGTTAGCCAGCTGGACTCTTATGGATCTAATGCCGTCGAGGATACCTACCGATGTCACAACCCCACAATTGTTCATCTTGTGCCCATAGGCGGCGTCATGGAAGTCTTGTTGCATAAGATCAGACTGTATGTCGACTGTGCCGGCCGTGCCGTCGAACGTTTCCCCAATCACTCGGTGGACTGTTGAGGTGCTGATGGGCGAAGGAGGAAGGTCACCTCCGACCCGAGGAGCTTTTGCTGCCTTCTCGGCATCATAGAATGTGTTGCCCTTGGTCAAGGCCCAATCACCGTTGTACTGAATCCAGTACGTCTTGTCATTCCAACTATAGGTCGGCAGATCCAGGAGACGCAGTGCTTGTTCAAAGGGGCGGTGGTATTCATTCCAGTCTACGGGAATCCCGGCAAGATGGAGTGCACCCAAAGTTTGAACGAGCGTTTGCCAGTTGTTCTCGCCACGGCGGATCGAGGGCGATGCGACCTTGATGCTCGGAACAGCACTACGAATGAAACCCATACAAACAGGATGGGGTCCAATTTCAATCCATGTGGTTGACTCGTCAATGATTGAAATCTTCTGTGCTGCTTCCAGTGCAGACAAGAAGTCGACACTCTCTCGGGTTGCACGACGAACATAATTGGCGTTGATCGTCTTGTCGTTGAACACAACCTTTCCCAACAACGGTGAAATGACTGGCAGATTTGGTGCCTGGAACAAAACTCCAGTTCTCGAAACACTTTCAAAGTCGTCCAGGATGGGATCGGTTTGTGCTGAGTGGAAAGCAAATGCCACATCAAGACTAAAGCATTTGTACCCGGCGCTTTCTAGCACGGAAGCAAGCTTATCGATGTCATCTTTGGCAGCACTGAGAACTGTGTCCTTCTGTCCATTGATGCAAGCAACCTCGTAAGGTAGCTCCCCTGCGGCCTCTTGGACCTGAGCAAGGGAAGCTCTCACGGCAAGCATTTTATGGCTTCCAGCCTGACACTTCTTTTCGAGCATCAAGGCCCGCTGGCCAACGAGGAAGATGGCGTCACTTGCCGACAGAACTCCGGCTACGTGTAATGCCGCGTACTCGCCGAGACTGTGTCCTATGACAACATCGGGCTTGACGCCCAATGAAGCCCAGTATTTTGCGAGGGCAATCTCAGTGCACAGCAAAGCGAGCTGGGTTACGACAGGCCGGTGCGTGTGCTCTTTAGGGAAGCTTCCGTCGATGGCCGGGACAAAAGATGGGAATCCTTGTCCTTGGGCAAATGAATCGAGTTGCAAGATCTGGTCGCGGAAATATTTGGACTCATGGTAGAGCTCCAAGTCCATCGTCCCATACGACGCTCCCTGGCCTGTGAAAGCAAACGCGACGGGTGGAGGTCCTGCGGCGGCTACGATTGGTTTATGCGAGTCTGCTGAGTCCAACTGCGAGCGTAGCTGTTTCTTTAAATGCGCTACATCAGAAGTGGTAATCGCTACTCTGTGACTGTGGTGGTAACGCCGGGCTGTCAAGGAGTAGGACAGATCAGCTAGCGAGACATCTGGGCTCACTTCCAGATAGTCTATAAGCCGCTGGATGTTCCCCTTCAGCGAGACTTTACTTTTCGCAGAGATTGGAATCAGATGTGTGGTCCGGGGATCGTGACCGATTGTTTGTCGCAAAGGTCCTTCCTCGATGGCTATCGTCGTGTTGCCTCCCGCAGCGCTGAAGTTATTGACAACTGCAATGCGTTTCCTGTCAGTACTGCGAGGCCAGGCCGTTTTCTGATACGGGATATTTATGTTCCGCTTGTCCAGGTCCTTGGGGAATCCTGGGTTGATGCTGTTCTTGATTCCAGCATGCGGTGGTATCGCTTCTTTCTGAAACATCAACAGTACCTTGATCAACGCTGTCACTCCTGCCACGGCTTCGCCATGGCCTACATTGGATTTGACTGCACCGATATGAAGGGGCTGCTTGCTAGTGCGTCGCTTGTTTGCTATTGGGGCAAATACCTCGGTGACGGATTGCATTTCTTCCGAGTCGCCAGCCTGTGTACCAGTGCCGTGCATTTCGACAAAGCTAACATCGAATGGGTCCAAGGCGGCATCTCGAAGAATTTGCCTGTATAGGAATGCTTGGGACGGGGCATGCGGATGTGTAATCGAGATTGCGTCGGCGGAATGATTCGTTCCCGCTCCTAGTATAACACCGAGTATGTTATCGTTGTCAGCTTCCGCATCTTCGAGGCGCTTCATAACGATTGACCCGATGCCGTCTGCGCGACAGTAACCGTCTGCTTCACAGTCCCATGTCTTGCAAGCATTGGGAGTTTTGGAAAGGAAGTGCCCATTTCCTAGACCAGCAAATGCGTCGGAATTGGTCAACACATTCATTCCGCCAGCTACCACTGTGTCGGTGTCTCCATTCCATAAAGACGTACAAGCTGCCTTCATGAGGTGTTAGCTTCCGAATCCATCATAAATCTCTGGTGCTTACCTGTATCGTTGCCAGACTTGACGAACATGCCGTGTCTATACTATAGCTTGGACCCGAGAATTTAAAAAAGTAGTTGATTCGTCCCGGGCCAAAAGCTCTACACCCACCGGGGATGAAGTATGTACTGATTTCTTGTGCAGTATTCACCTCACGGTAGTCGTCACTCGCTTGACCATAAAACGTCCCAATGCGATGCAAATTGGTTGCGCTCGTACGATTCGCCACATAGCCAGCTCGCTCGAGTGCTTCGTAAGCAGTCACCAACGCGAGCCTTTGCATTGGATCGGTCTGTTGCGCTTCTCGAGGCGACATGTTGAAGAAGCCTGCATCGAAAAGGCCAGGCTCGTCGATGAAACATCCGTATGGTGTGATACTCGTGTTCACTCTCTTCCCAGTAGGGTCGTGATGTGTTTCGACATCGAAACGGTCGGCTGGGATCTTGCGGTGAACATCAAGGCCTTTTTCCAGCAGCTCCCAGAACTTTTCAGTGTCCGTGGCACCACTCGGCATCCGACAGGACATTCCAACAATGGCAATTTTGGACTGCAAGGAGCCTCGCGGACCCTGGAGCCGCTCACGACTCTGGTGGAGCCACTGCAAGAGGTCTTCTGTCGTGGTTTGCAGGCCACTGTCGGCCGACTTCAGAGCTTTCACCAACTCATGCACGGGAAGAGAGTCGCGGAAGACGAGTACCTCGACCTCGGTTGCCGAAAGCTCTTGAATACGTTCCAGAACACCCTTCACAACTTTGTCCCATTGTATCTTTTGTGTCAAGATCTCACCGACAACTTGCTCAAACAGATTCGTCACACTTGTGGACAAGAACGGCTTGCCGGTAGAAGTAGAGAAAAGTCTCACGCTAGGTGAGTACCGAACGTGTGTTTCGTCCAGTACAGACTTTTCGACGACTTCCTGCACATGCCGTTGTTCGTAAATGTGCCCGGCATGACACAGGCCTCCATATACGGGTAAAGCGACGAATTTACGATCTCGAAAGAAGTCTGACAAGCGGAAGAGGCTTCTCAGCCTGGCGGGCGGTCCACTTATTGTTACGGAAGTCCTGCTTAACGCGCTGACAAAGATCTTGCTCGGTATAGGCGTTTTCTGCCTAGCGGGTCAATGGTACTGCCACTAAAATAAAATGCAAAAAGAAAAGGGAAAGTATACCTCTCTGGAATGTATTTCGTCCAGCTCCTTCTGTACCACCTCCGGTGACACATCGGGAATGACATATGCCCAGGAGTCGGGGGTGCCCGTGGTGGAACGGTCTCTTGGCTGTAGATTTTGAGAAACGCCGTCCACAAGTACACCAAGACGAAATGCAATGCGGACAGCCTCGGCACCGGCGACCGGAAGATCTGCGAGGCTGGGAGTGACAGATACAGCAGCCGCTGCTACCAGACCAATTCCCAGACCAGCGACGCTTGCAATGGATGAACCAAAAGGGAACAGGTGGTCTGTCGTCTCGTAATGTCTTTTTACGAGTTTTAGTTTTACACGGCCAGGTACGGCTGACATGGAGCTACATACCCTATCAGGTTCGCGAACTGAATTGCACAGAGGAGGACTCCATCGATGGAGCCAGAAAGGGCCCCTTTCGAAGCTCTGCATGTTCAGCAAAGTCGAAAATGGTTCGGAAAGTGGGAATTAGATGTCTCGTCTCGTTGGGTAGTTTGCGTATCTCCTCTCGCACTGCCGAGGTCGCTTCTTCGATGAACTGGCCGAGTACTTGGTGCTGCCTGGATTTACTGCGGTCAAACAGCTTGCGGACAATGAAGTTCAGATCATCTGGGGGAAACTCGTTGCTAAAATACGCCAGAGTGACTTTGGGCGGCCCCACTGGCGTGTTTAGCGAGCCCCAGGGGGATGTTCCTGATCCCGAGTTGTCTGACATGGTGAGCGAGGTTGAGCTCAGTCAGGCTGTTGCTCTCACAATCTGTTGTGTTCATCAAAGGTAGACAGATAGGTAGGTAGGTGGTGACTCTCTATATGTGAACTTGAACAGCAAGCAAGGCGGCTGATGGTGTAAGGTGATTGGTCAGAGGGGTTGCCGTTGAATGAAGAAAGCTTAGTATCCTCTACATCCGCATTATCCAAGACGAACTACACAGTCTGATTGGTTCTGTCTAATCCAGCGAGCCAAGTGCATAATTAAATAGATAGGTGCATTGGAAATTATCGGGACTCGTTCCATCGTTCGGTTGATAGTCAGCTTGCGCCGGAGTTGGTCAGACATCGGTGCCTACTCTCCTACCTAGGACCGCAAAGAGATTCCCGAACCTTGGTAATCAGGATAAGGATGTGGCAACTCGCAAAAACCGCGACCCGATACCGTAGATTAACAGGGTTACTTCTGCAAAGTCGGCTTGGGCGACTACCATATCCCCAAAAGATGTGACATTGAGACTACGGTCATCGCACCCATTACTACACAGGCTGCATCTTATCCTTTCAACATGGTAGGCAAGGGTGGCTATCGCCAGATCAACAAGGCACTTAACATTTGTGCTTTCGAGGACTATCTCGACGGCCAGCAAAAGAGCCTTCCCCCACTAAATGATGTCGAACAAATCAGTCCGAATGTCCTTCGCGTTCTGGGGCAGAATCCAGGAAAGGTAAGCCGGCACAAAAAAATACATGGCAACAAGATTGCGAAGAGTTGACAATGAGTGCTTTCAAGTTCACCCTCCAGGGGACAAATACATATATCATAGGCACAGGCGAGAAAAGACTTCTTATCGATACAGGACAAGGAATTCCAGAGTGGGCCGATCTTATCAGCTCTACTCTTGCCAACTCTTCAATCCGCCTGTCCGCAGTACTACTATCCCACTGGCATGGTGACCATACTGGTGGTGTTCCAGATCTCTTGAGACTATACCCCCACCTCTCAGACTCGATATACAAGCATTCTCCCAGCAAGGGCCAGCAGCCCATCGAGGATGGCCAGGTCTTTGAGGTCGAAGGCGCCACAGTCAGGGCGGTCCACGCCCCTGGACACTCACACGATCACATGTGCTTTGTGATTGAAGAGGAAAATGCCATGTTTACTGGCGACAACGTTCTCGGTCATGGGACGGCTGCCGTTGAGCTCCTGAGCACCTGGATGGCGACTCTACGTCTGATGCAGAGCCACAACTGCGGCAGAGGCTACCCGGCCCACGGCGAAGTCATCCCAAATCTGAACGCGAAGATCTCTGGCGAACTCGCCTCCAAGGAGCGGCGCGAGCGGCAGGTCTTGCAGCACCTGAACCGCATCAGGAAGGAAGAGCAAGGTGGCAAAGGGAGTGCCACAGTACAGAGGCTGGTCGTGGAGATGTACGGGGACACGGATCAGCAGATGAGGGAACAAGCTCTCGAGCCTTTTATTGATGAGGTCCTGCGGAAGCTGGCCGAGGACGAGAAGGTTGCTTTTCAGCTTAGGGCGGGTGAAAAGACGTGGTTTGCTATTGCACTGGAATAATGGGCGTCATTCATTATTTAGATTTCAGGTTCAAGGGGAGTTTTAAGAACTCGTGTTTTAACTCGCAATGTAACATCTTCCCAGCCACTTATTCGCCATCATCTCAATACTTCTCACGCAATCATATCTTGTAGCAGATACAATTTAGCAAACCTTTGGTTCTCATTCAAGTTGTGCATACACATATTGGCATATATTTACAGGAAAACCAAGCAGAATCAGTAGGTCTTGTGGATTATACCCGCGAAAACCAAGACAATGGTCACACACATGACTGCTTGAGATAAATCTACACACAGCTTGACCATATCCAGCTTCTTTCAACTGAAGGTAGTGGGAAATGCTGAAAAGAGAATCGCCATTCCTGTTAATGGTTCACTGATCAACAATTGGAGTCGAGTTCCGTACACAGTACGAACTGGAAAGCCTTTCATACTGTCTAGGCTCAGCTTTGCCAGCCAATGCCCCGAGATGCTTACATAAATGCACCGCGAGTAGGCTTTTGCCCCGAAAAACAAACCTACTATACCCCGACACGGGTGAAAACACCTTTACCCCGAGCATCTGGAATGCCCTGACAAATAATGCCCCGAAGGCCCCTACGGACCGTTTTGATTAGGGTTCCTGTTTATGCCAAATTTTGATATTGCCGTGTTTCAGAATCAGGCCTTTCGGTATTTCCAATAATTGCCCAAACGGTCCGAAGACATTTCACGTGATAATCAAGATTACAAATTAGTGCATGATGAGGTCTTATGCAATGATCCATTCGCACTCGGAGCAAGAGCATTCCGCGGGTGTCTACCGTATACTGCGCACAACGAAATCCGACCCGCCAAGCAAAACGTGCCTACATGGCATCCGATAGCGCAATAACGACTCCCGTCAATGGGAACAAGGACCTAGCAATGTGCAACTTGTTCCACCGCACGAGTAACTCCGTTACCTCTTCCAGACTTCCCGCTGTTGTCCCTGATGCTGCTTCGGGGCCCTCTGCTAGGCGAAATAGGGCATTGTTGGTTGGCGCTAGGACATACCAGGTAAATGGTATCATGCCCATGGTCACCACCGCAGCGACTGCAAGTATATACCACGCCTGGTGCTGACTGCGTCTTCGGATGATCGTCCATACGTACAAGATGAATGTGGTTATCGCTAGGGGAGGCATAGTCCGCACGCCATAGTAGTACATGCGCGCCCACTGACGTGCCAGGTACACCGGGTCAGCTCCGGTATCTAGGAGCATGGGAACAGCCATTAAAGGCAGTCCCATCATGGCGCCTAATGCCATTAGTTAGTTTTTGTTTTATTAAATTGATTTCCTACATGAATGTGTATCGAGGGCAGTATTTTCCTTACCCGCTAGAAAAGAGCCCGCTGCAATAGCCAGCATGTGCGTATTGAGTCTCGTTGATCTGTATTCTGTAGACATTGTTTTTGTGACAAAGACTATCGGCGTATTTACTATAACAGTCCTGAATCAATGGAAGTCGGGGTCAGGGGCTGAATATATGATGATGAATACTCAGCTAGTTTCATATCGAGTGCATGACAGTTTTCATGTGTCAAAACACAATGTAGCACTTGCATCAATATGCAAACGTCAAAGTAAGCCCTAGTGCACCCAAATGGGTTCAAGTCAGATTCGCTTCGGTAAAAATGAATGAAACGTCCGCCCGATGCGCACTCGGATCTGCAGGGTTTGATCCATGCACTACCGCCTTGAAGTCAAAGTCGTACCCGGCCACAACAGCAGATGCACGGAGTCTCATTACAGACATTATTCGAACAATGTGAATATTCCATACATAGGTAGTGAACCAGACTAGCGAATTACCAAGGGCTCAAAGGGACTCTAACCCAAGAATCTCTCCACCACAGACATGGCCGAAATGTCGAAAAATCCAGCGTCTACTCTGAAGCCAAGCAGGTATCTTTGCCTAACCATCTGCGGCTATCGCAAACCAGGAATGAGTGAGGAGGACTATCGATACCATATGACCCAGGTGTCTGCGCCGATGACCAAGGACCTCATGGCTAAGTATGGAGTAAAAAGATGGACAATGGTTAGTTTCTCTCATACTTCTTGAAACATCCACTGTGAATTATTTGCAGCAATTCTCGTGCATTGTTGCAGAGATTCGCTAATTCAGAAAGAAAAGATACACAACCCTGGGGTCACACGTTCTCTTATGTCAGAATTATATGATCCGCAGATGGCCCTCGTGTCCGACTTTGACTGCTTCAGCCAAGTTGTGTTTGAGAACTTGGAGGATTACAAACGAATGAAGCAAGATCCTTGGTATAAGGAGCATCTGATTGGTGATCACGAGAAGTTTGCAGACACGAAAAGAAGCAAGTAAGTGTAAAGATCTGAATGCAATATCTCGAAAGCCGTTGAATGCTTTGCTAAGCCGCTTAGAATGACCATTGGGTGGATAGAGGAATGGATTAGCGATGGGAAGCCCGTCGATGGGCTCGAGTTCAAATCCTAGATAGGCGTATGTCAATATCAATTCATTCATATTGTGTATTTACGAGGGTGTCGTGCGCTAAGTTATAGGAGATGATGATGCCCAAATTATGTCCATAGCATCATCAGCTACTTGATTCATCCTTTGGACCAACATTGTTGGGGCCGGAACCAAGTACAAAAAAGAAAAACCTATCAAATTTCGTGCTCATGGTCTATGAAAGCAGCGCGACCGAAAAATGATTGTTGATCGGCTCTTTTTGGTCCATAGGTGCGCACTGTGCTCAATGGTTTTAGCCGACTTAGCACTGTCATGGCAATGTCCTTTGGCGAGGGAAGGTCGCTTAGGGGGCCCGACTTGGGATCCTTCGGATGAAAAGTCCATATAACGATCCACTGTGGCTCACCCAATAATTGGAGTCGATTGGGGCTTGGCGAACTCCGGGGCTAAGAGAGAGATGACTGCTTGACTATTGCATGTTGAGTGACCAGGCCCCCCCCTGGAGCTGGCCTGGCGAGAGTGTTCTTCACAATCATGGATCTAAGCCGCTTAATCACTATATAATACATCTTATGGGTGTGTAAAAATGGTGATTCGGACTCCATTCTCGATTCGATTGTATGAATCAAGGCCAGGGATGATGTTCGCCATGTTCCAATCCATATTGTTCCTCGCTTTTTATGGCCGACCAGTTTTCGGGAGCGCCGCTGCTCGTGATTACGCATGTGTCAACACGGCAGAGTCTCGTGACTGCTGGAAAGATGGCTTCAACATTGAGACTGATTATTATGGCAAAGAAGAGGCGCCCGAGGGAAAGCTTGTGGAAGTGCGTGTTTTATACTGAATGAACCTTCATCTTGAGCAACGAATCGCTTACATATCCAAAGTACGAACTCACCCTCAGCCAGCAGATAATCTCACCAGATGGGTATGAAATGCTTGGCATGGTTGTCAATGGTCAGTATGAAGTCTTGTGACGTTTTCACGGCGCTGAGATCCTATAATCTAGGACAATATCCGGGCCCAACCATTGAAGCAGATTGGGGTGATACTCTAAGTTAGTCAATCCTCGGTTACTTTACAGCGAGACAGAAACCATTACTTATGCCACGTGCAGGAATCACCGTAAAGAACAATTTTACAGAAAACTACAATGGGACTGCTGTTCATTGGCATGGCATCCGCCAGAAAGAGACGAATTGGCTGGATGGCGTGCCGGGTGTCACTCAGTGCCCCATAACTGTAAGACTGTATTGGCAATTCTTTAGGGAATATTTTCTAACAGAGTAAAGCCCGGCGACTCCCAAGTATATGAGTTTCGGGTAACCCAATACGGCACATCATGGTATCATTCTCATTACAGTCTGCAGTGTAAGTGCATGATAGCCTCCAGCCGACACATGGCAATACGCTGACTTGTCATAACAGACAGTAATGGAGCTTATGGTATGTACTCTCTTTCTTGATAAACATGATACTTGTAGCTGATGCAAAGCCAAGGGCCTATTGTTATTCACGGCCCTTCAAGCGCCAACTGGGATGTAGATCTTGGTCCCTGGCTGCTCAGTGATTGGTACCACGATGACGCCTTTGCCCTGGATCATGTAGGCATAACCACAAATCGCGCGGCGATTCCAAAGTCTTCATTGATCAACGGCAAGGGCTACTACGAGTGCGATCCCACAAACGATGCTAAATGCACAGGTACGCGTGACTACTACGAGGTCGTACTTAAACAAGGGACAAAGTACAAGTTTGGCATCATCAATACGTCCACTATCTTGACCTACACATTCTGGATCGACGGGCACAATTTCACCATTATAGCCATAGACTTTGTGCCAATCGAGCCTTTGACTGTAGACACTCTCAATGTCGGCATAGGTATTTGGTCTCTTTCCTAAAACTAAAAATGAGTCATTAGCTGATCATGACGTTCAGGCCAACGATACGAAATCATCATAGAGACTAATCCCGATTTTGATGATGACAGCAGTTTCTGGATGCATGCACAATATTGCTTCATCAATCAGACAGATATAGTAGACGACAAGGTCGGCATAGTGCGATACGAGTCCGCTGGGTCCAGTGATCCGCCATATATCAACAAGTCAGACTACCACTTGAACTTTGGCTGCGCTGACCCCAAACCGGAGAGCCTCGTGCCTATCCTTAAGCAGCAAGTTGGTGCCCAGGCGAACCCTCTGGCCGCCGAGGACTACTTCAGGGTTGGCTTGGGCAACTTTACCTGGCCGGATGCGACAAACTCAACCGGCTCTGTCTTCTTGTGGTTTCTACAAAAGCTGCCACTGTATGTAAACTGGAGCGAACCAAGCGTCAAGAAGTTGACCATCGACGAGACGGCAGACTTCCCGCCCAACTCTAGGCCCATAGAGCTCGACTATGAGACGGGGCAGTGGGTCTATTTTGTCATTGAGAGCGACTGGGATCCCGCGGGCGCCGTCGATCAGTATGGCCAGGAGATACGCGTAGAGCCCTCGGTCCACCCCTTTCATCTCCACGGCCACGATTTCTTAATCTTGGCTCAGGGACTTGGAAAGTTCACTTCTGACATCCAGCCCAACTTGGACAACCCACCCAGGCGAGATACGGTGGACGTGGAGCCCCTCGGGTACGTCTGGATTGCTTTCCAGATTGATAACCCAGGAGCCTGGCTATTTCACTGTCACATTGCTTTCCACTCCAGTGATGGTATCGCAATTCAATTCTTGGAGCAACCAAGCAAGCTGAAACCGATCATGGAAGAAGCTGGTGTATTGGGCGATTTTGCTGATCGCTGCAACAAATGGGATGATTGGTATCAAGCAGTCAACATTCCGCACAATGCTACTCAGGCAGACTCTGGGGTCTGAATAATTTCCTGCGATATTGAATTACGATACGATGTACTAGACAGTAATACAATGTGACTTGTGGAGCTATGAGCAGTAAATTGTGATCGCTACCTTGAAAATAACTGGAATGGCAACTCAGGTGACCGCCCAACCGATCCATCCGTGTCAGCAACTGTCAACGTGGTCCAGTTCCAGAGGGAAGATAAGGATGAAGAAAGGGAGCGAAATGGCTCAGTAGCCCCACTGCAATGCACAGAGGTGTTCCCGATGGGAAATTTGCTCTCCCATGAGTATTCACCACACCCACATTTCGCATATCGTATCTCCCCTGGGGATCGTTGACGGCTTCAATCATGGCAGCTGCTAGATCAAGGTACGAGACTGGGCTGTCTTCATCCGTCAGACTCAAAGCATGGCCACGCTGAATATCAACCGATAGTGCGCCGGGTTTGATAAAAATCGTGGTCAGCCAGTCCTGCTCCGCACGAAGGAGTATTTCCGTTTTGCGCAGGTCTTCGTACACATGTGATGCCGACTTGAGCAAGATACTTCGGAGTACCCAAGGCGTGTTGCGAGAGAGAACATCATCAATGGTTGCCGAAGATAGCAGAACTAGTTTTGGCATCGGCAAGAAGCCGTCTGCCCGGGATCTTTCCAGCACTTTGACGACACCCAATGCCGTGTCCTGCGCCACGCGACAGCCGGGAACGTTGTCGTTTGTTGTAATGCACAGAAACACGGCGTTGCAGCCATGTAAACATGCTGCCAGAGTTTCAGTGTCACCAATGCCCCCTACAAAGACCTTCACGCGAGCATCGGATATAACTCGCGGAACAAGGCGCTCCAGCTTTTCTTGGTTGCGACAGAATGCGTGTACTTCAGTCATCGAAGAATCCAAAACATTCTCTATCAATGCCGTTCCGCAATTTCCGGTTGAACCAAGGATTGCGTACCTGGACATTGTGGTTTTGCCTATTCAAATAACCTTCGGATGGTGGCTGCATAAAGTATTGTCAAATCTAGGCCTTTGTGGTATATAGTTATAAAAGCAAATAAGTAATATCATGTATCATGAATCGCAGAAATAGTAGTAGTAAGTCTGTGAGCCCGCTAGGTGACTGCTGTGTGTAGGGTGTCATGGGGTTGCTATCCGAGCATACCAGAAATCTACCTAGTTATACGGACAAAGTCCCATTGCTTACACTTTCGCTATACAGTGCACAGTTCCAGGCAGACCTTGATGCTAACACTCGGGAATCCCGAGCTTTCTTCCACCAATCCAGCTGACCAGACTGAAAATTTCAAAAAAACTATCAGAACAAGCACGGGAGACAGATATATCCAAAAACATTTGTATTCGCATTCAAAACACAATCAACCACCTAACCATCGATATACTACTTATTTTGGCTCAAAAATGACTGATAAGCAGGAAAGAACTTTTGGAAGAACTCTGTATCAACCATCTCCTGAACATTGACCACCTTGTCGCCAGCGTTATTGAAGGTGATGAATGCCGAGAATTCATTCAACCAGGGGAAGCCAAACGGAGTATCAGCTTTGGATATTGCGTATACTGCGGCCTTCTGATTCTCAACATCATGCACTACTTGGTGGATTTTCAACTAAACATGTCGTTAGCTGTGAGCATGCCTTTTAGTACTTGAATGGTATGCTATCAGACCTCGTAGTTCTCCAGGATGCTATAGAGTTTTGGCAACATGACTTCAGCAACCTGTTTTGGGCGAACGTCATGGCCAAGTGAGAATGGCAGGGTTTGTTGAGTGTAGTCATCAGAAGCTACCGCGAGCATTTCTTCCGCGTTGGCATTTTTCCAACCAGAGATGAACTTGTTCAGTGTCTCCTTCTGGGCACTACCAGTGCTAGCCATTTTGTTGAGTCTTTTGCAGGCCAACGACGCGACTGGTTTCAACCGAATCAGATCATCTTGAGTGAATCGAATCATATCATATCTCTTAATAAGTACATATCGGATTACTCCGACAATCCCTGCTCGAGGTAATCCACATTGACCATCACACCGTTACACCGGTGTTCCGGGATTTGATTGATTTCCACTGGTGACAGACCAGCCATATTTGAGCCGAACTATACTTGCATTTTGATTGGGCCGCCCATAATGCTCGGGATATTCCCCGATCCTTTGGGTACTTTCGGAACTATCGGACTTACTGGATCTGTACGAGGTCTAGCCCCTGCGCGGTGCGACCCTCCGGGCATTGAGCCATTGAATAGCAAAATGCTTTCATCACATTACCTGAACGCATCCGATCGGATCATGGCGAAGTGCACCCCCCGTACATTCAATCTCTCGCACAACGGCACATGCTGTTCTGTGATAGCTTGGACTAATTTGATTGAATTGACGGCCTAGCACGACGCAATACCTTTTGCTGGCATGTATTAGAATCGCCACTACAGATTCCGGTGTCCACTGTGGTGAGAACAAGCTTTTGTCTACCGTATTAGGAGTATGATTGCTCAAAAGAACCCTGTTGGTGTAACGCCTATGTGTCATGTCAACCCTTCGGCAATCGTTTAAAGTTTGATTGAACTCGTAACATTGCGCGCGAAAGGCCTGGCGTTTGATCCTAGTCGAGTAGCTAAACGGACATTCTGATCGTTTCTAGTACACCACGCAGCCGAGGCAACCATTACAGAGATATCACGCCATGATGATTAACAAAACAACCAATTTAGAATCAACTACAATTTAAAGATTTATGAGATGTGACACGTCTACAGCAGCAGGTGGACCATCGTATCAGACCCGCGTTGCTAGAATGATCTTGGCTGGCCAACAACCTCTGATGGGTCTGCCGTCCGCAACATATTTCTCCAACTCTGCCCACAGTTCTGCAAATACCTCGGGGTCTTCCTTGGAAAATGGAAAAGTGGCAAAATGGTCCTTGACGCCCTCCAAGTCAGTCTCAAAACTCCAACCATCCTCGGACTCGAAAATTTCATCGTCCTGCGGCCCAGTGTAGCTGGGTTCAGCGGCTGCCACATAGTCCTCTGGGTAGACAATATCTGTTAGGCCTCCGTTATTCATGTTTAGATGAATGCGCTGGGTTCCGGGTACGAATAGCGAGGTATCCGTGGGTGCAACATCATAGTATCGTGAACTTCTCACAGCCACCTTGAGTATTTTGGTTGGGTCATCTGCCTTCATAATCAGGCGACGGCCGCCCGATTGGCTGATTCTGGTCCATATGTCCTGCACTTTCTGATCTTCAAACCGTGCCGGCCCAAATCCAGCGGCAATGAATGTGCCGCCTGACTTAAGTTGAGAAACGATGGCTTTTGCACCCCGTGATGGCTCCACCCAGTGCATCACATTTGTGGCAAAGACCAAGTCGACGCTACCCGTCGGAATGTCGTCAAAATCTTCAACTCTGGCAACGCGAAAGCTGAACCCATCGTTGCCGAGCCGTTCTTTAGCGAGTTCGACGTTACCAGGAGCAACATCTGACACGATGACATGCTTGAACCTGGAGCGTAGTTTCTGGGAATATGGGCCGTTCCCAGCACCACAGTCGTGAACCGTACCAAAGTGTCCCCCGTGGTCTTCATGGTACCGAAATATTCTCTCAAAGAAACTCTCAGGGGGTTGCGCCCGCCCTCTCAGATACGTCTTCCAGAACTCATTGTCTTTTGCAAAGACCTCGTCGTTGGTGCTCATGTTTGAGAATGCTGTCGCTGGTAAGTAAAGATGTATGATTGTGTTCACTGGCTTCACCAGGACGAAGAGTGGAAATAAGATATTGCAAAAATGTGAAAGTATCCATCCTAGAACAAGATTCGGCAACATACATCCTCACTAGAATCGAATTCGGAATATGCACCCTCGTCCAGGATAATTGTCCACCGCGAGACACACACCCAACCTTGCTCGGTGTCCTCGGACAAATGTTGATGCCGGTGTTGACCGGGTTGCCTTGTCTTGGCCGCCCGGGGTTGGACTGGTCACCACTTTCAAGCATCAGTATAAACGATCAATCCGTTTCACACGGCAAGATTCGTTCGGGGTATAGCAAATACAGTCACGGAGCTGCCAAAGTCTCAGAGAAGGCTTCGCCCGAATCCCCCGGGGTCAGAGCACCAAGGCACCAGACAGCCACTCGTGAGTAAGCTGAAGCTATGTCTGTGCACAGGCAAAGTCCTGGAGGTTGAAACTGTCGAGACAATTTGACCAAGTCGCAAGAGCCTGTAATTATGATCGCAATGAGACATCTCATTGTTCAATTTCATAAGAGACTTCATAATTTTCTGTCTCTTGGCGAGCATGCAGGACATAGCGGAGATGCATGTAAGCCGGTCATACCACCATCCAGCCCTTATGAGCACTAAATCTTGTACATGTACCACCAGTTGCACCCTGCATTGTATATATGGACGCAGCGTCCAGGAGGATCCAGGTCAACATGTCCTAATGCAGAAAGAAAAGTATGTAGACATGTGCCTGTCGTGTGTGACGGGTTCATTGCTCCACAACTTTATGTCCAGTCTAAGCGACAAGTCCTTTCTCCTTGCTGCGCTTACATATATGTGTATCTTGTTCGGTAACGCACCAGACAGGATCATGACCATTCTCGACAAACTGCATATTTTTGGGCTGTTTGTGTGCGACATTAATACCCTGACTACCTGGATGATGCAAACTGAAGATCAGTGACCTTTGAATCGTAGAGCTTCACCAGACCTATAAAACCGTTGCGCGCAAGCGATATCCACAAACTACGGCGCAGGGAGTCGTCTTCATCGTTCCGTTATTAGACGTTACGATACCGCAGGGCGTTCATTTCCTGGGCATTTACACTGCTGCGGTAACGTGATCACCCACACCGAGGGGAGGGAATACCATACTCTTGCAAGAGACCGCGATACACAAGCCACATATGCAATCAGACGTGTGGAACGCTAAGAATTGAGAGAGCCTCGATAACTTTGTTCATCGATGTCTTCTGTGCCGATCGACAGCGTGCAGGCAGCACAACAAGTGGTGTCTACGAAGATCAAGGACAAGTCTTGGATCATGCCGACTGATCCAGCCGAGTTTCTGCAGCAAATAGCTTACCAGGTCAGTCGAGTGACCCAAACCAAACCCGAGGCGCTCAGAGGCAGTCGCAAGCATAACGAGGAGAGGTTACTAACACTGAGCTTCCTTCACAGAGTCAGCTACTTGCTTGCCTGCATTGGCTGGGAGAGTTTCAAATCCTCGCATGCGTGCCACTAAGCGGAAGCGTGCCCATCAAAGATGTGGCAGACCTTGCGGGTGTCCCAGTGTCACAGCTGGCACATGTCATACGATTCATGGCGACGGCCGGATTCATGAAAGAGCCACGACGCGGCGAGGTCGCGCATACGCCACAATCCGCGGCCTTTGTCACTGACCCATCCTTCTTGGACGCGGGTATTTTTCTTGCCCAGGTCTCGGCACGATCTGCCAGAAAGATGGCACAGAACTCTGCCATCTCCACCTTGATGGGTGGCGACGGCGCCAATAACGGCTCAGATTTTGACAATGGGGAGCTTCTCAAGTCGACAAGCGAGAGCCCCAGAGTGCAGCGGGAGGTCACGGCTTACCTCCACTACGTGGTCAACGAGGTGTCAGATACGGCTAATCTTCTCGCCCAGCTTGACTGGCGCAAGCTCGGTAGTTCTTCCGTCGTCGAGGTGAGTGGTCGGTCCCCTTAGAATCCATGGCTCAACAACAACAACAACATCGGCACGCACCGGCCCTAGCGTTCGTAGTGGTCTCATGGTGCAAGACTCGGGTCGCCTACCCATCATGCAACGTTTTCTCGTACGTACTGTAGCTGCGGGGTAACAGGCTAACAAGGTCGTTGAAACACTATAGATACGGGCGGATCGGATCTACCCTGCGTCTCTAGTGCTGACGGAACTGCACTCTACCCCACGCTTCACAGTCCAGACATTTCAGGAAGACTCAGTCGAGCAGGGCACAGCGGTTACTACTACTGCCACCACATCTTCATCCTTCATCAGCAAATCCTCCGAAGAGCCCTCGCCCAAGAGGATCAAGCCGGGTATTACCTATCAGAAACGGTCTCTGGGTAGTCCTCAAGTCGTTACCGACGCCACAATGTACGTGATGCGCCTAGAACGACCCCATTCCACCTCTGTGCAGCGCAGCATCCTAGACGAGGGCCAGATTGTGAGTGAGCTACGTGCCCATCTGGGCGTGCTCAAGCATAACAGCAACGCCACACTTATTCTGATAGGCCCCTTGCTCCCCGAAGCTGGCGCCATTGACGCCAAGGCTGAAATGGTGGTACGGTTCAGAGACCTCTCGCTCAACCAACTTACTAGCGAGCGCGAGATGGAGGTCGGCGAGCTCGTGGATATCATTGGCGACGTACAGGATGAATCAGGCTGTCTGGTGGTTGTGAACAAGCTGTATTCCCGCACTAGCTCCACTGTGGCTTTGGAGGTTAGATATGAGTTATACAACTACCGTAAGGGATAACTTGGGATACATGGCACCTGCTCGGCTTGACATTTGCCCTATCACAACCGTCCCAAATGATTCCAATCCGTCAATTCAAGTGCACTAATATTAAAGTTAAAGTTAACAATTCGCTGGGCTTGTCAAACCATGCACGCCGAAACCGGCACATCTGTTCACCATAACTCGTCAGTCCATAAGGCGCAATTCCGGGCAAGACTCACAACGATAGTACCCACATACCAAGATAAGACGGAATCACCATCCGATACCATGCAAGGTCTTTTCATTTCCTTGAGGTGCAGTTCATGCATTATCTACTCTTCTAGTCCTTTATGTAAAAATTGCCTAGAATGGTAATCAGGGATTGCTGCTATTTGTCTTGCATACCCCAGTATCTATCCAATAGCATGTTTTCCCTTGAGCCTCCCCTCCCCCACCATTGCCCAGTGGCGCTTTTAAATCCAGCCCATGTTACTGATTAATCAAGCTTTCTTCACGTATCAGCACATTAACCGTGGTCTTTTTGGACCTTCATGATTGCCAAATGTACTTGGATCGCACCACGTCATATGAAGACTCGCTGTTGCCATATTCGATGCAGAGCTTACTTCAGCTTACTTCGGCCTATTTCTCACTGCATGCAGATCGTCGGTGCCGACGCGGCAGCCGGGGGCCCCTGTGCGTCCTAAAAGTCAAGCTCTAGTACAATCATTCCACCAATTTACCTCTACGATAGATGCAGGTATTACAAGAATAGAATCTCTCAGGCTTGTTTACAAAGCTTCTTGGGACAGTCTCCATAATATGGAGGGGTGATTATGGTAATTATTGATTTGTAGTTTTCCACCCAGTCCATATTATCTGCAAAATACGTGAGACTCTACCCACCTTACACAGGCCTGCTTGTTTGTCGGTTGATAGACTTGATCATCATCATATGTGAGATTGTGCCGTACAGCATGGAAGCAGCCGACCCAAATAACAATCTCACAATTACTTCACCCTCCACACTCTTGTCGAATCCAACGCAGCCACCCGCGCAACCGTTGAAGCTTCGTGACAGCTGCCATGCATGTGCCTCTTCAAAAGTCAAATGCCACAAGGAAAAGCCAACATGTTCGCGCTGCCGAAAGCGCGGAATCACCTGCGAGTACTTTGCACACAGGCGTCCTGGACGAAAGCAGGAGAATCGTGCAAAAGACACGACAAATCATGTCGAAAGGCAAGAGAACACAACAGCAGTCGAAATGCTGGACCTAAACTGGCCGGCGCCGGATTTCTCCACTCAAACATCCATTGCCAACGACAACTTGGACGTTTTCCACGATATCTTTGTACCTCCAGACCAATTAAATAATGGTCTGACCGATTTTACCATCGACTTTGATGATTTCGATATCCAGTCAGATCCCGCCGAAATAGCTTCGCTGCCCGACACTTCGAGTTTAGAGTCCATGTTTGTCACGTCTCCGACGGCCCCCACGGATACGATCACCCCCAACGTGATCACCCCCAACGTGGGATTGTCAGTTCTAGAGGGCTTACCTGACACTACACACCACACGCAAGCCATCAATCTTGCAAGCTACATCCAAACACCGCCGACAGAGAAAACTCCTGACTCTCGAATCAAACATCTTGAAGAGAACAAAGATCCATGCATGACGCGAGCCTTGAGCTTTTTGACGCAGCTTTCCGAAAGCACGTCGAGAATATGCAAAACCTCCGAGACTGGATGCTCGGGGACCAATAAGAAGAGCCTACCAGAATCTCTTGATGGCATCATTGCAGAAAACAGGAGACTCCTAGAAGCCATGAGCAATATTCTTCAGTGTCGATGCTCAGAGGATGACGACCTGCTGTGTATACAGGCGATAGTCGCTTCCAAAATACTGAACCTCTATGCATCGGCAATTGAGATCAAGCCAAGTCCGGCCAGGGTCGGATCAGGAGTCTCGACGCATACTACAGCGGGCCAGTATGAACCACAAGTCGAGCAGCAATTATCCACAAGAACACACCCGCAACTAGCCAGTGGGCGAGACCCCATCCGCATGGCGGCCCAATCTGTCCTGGGCGAGCTACATCGAGTCCAACGGCTGCTCAGCCAGATGTTACAAAAGTCCAAAGACAATGAGACAATGAGACGGAAAGGAAGTGAAAATGGACTGCGCGCAGTCGCAGACAAGGTCCCGCTGACTTCGGGGGTCTCTTTTGGATCTATAGAGGCAGATCTACGATATAAACTTGGTAAACTAAGTATAGAAATTATTACACTACTGCGGGGCGCCTAGTTAAATTTGTTGGATGGTTGTATAATCAACGACTATAGGGAAGCAGTCTCAGAAGCTCTAGTAGAGGTTGCCTGATACAAAGACAGACTAATTCAGTGCAATCAGTCGAATTAAATAACAAATAGTTTTGCGAACACAAACGATCCCTGATCAGTTCAACCTATTTGCTACTTTCTCGTCGCTAGTAATAACACCACGGGGAATGAGACTTTCCTAGTAGCCTTGGGGCCGCCAAGGGCCGTCTCTAGTTCTGTGAAGAGACTCTGAACCTCTTCAAACTTATCGCCTGCCTTGTTGCGATAATTGGGGAAAACCGAATCAAGAAAAGATGCAACGCGTCCAATGTCCCATTCCTCAGCCCAAAAGTCACGGTCCGTGATCTCCTTTGTAATCTCAGTACTATGATCTCGGCGGTCGACGGGCTCAACCTCAAAATCGTAGCCCTCCTTGGAATTGAATGTGAGGGGAACATCTGCATTCCACTTGTACCGTACCACGTCTTGCCACGCCTCTGGATCAAAGGGGATGCTATCGAGGCCGCTGCTCATGGCTTCGGCAGCCCGGTAATGGATCGGGAAGCCCGGGGTTCCTTTGAACGGCAACAAGAACTGGCAAACACGCGTAGCTATACGGTCGTACAGCTGGTTCAACTCGGCCTCGTTGTCCCCCGTGAATATTGGCCGGCTGTAGAAGTAAATTGCCAGCGTACCGCCTGGGCGAAGGAGCGCGCGGAAAGCCGCAAACGCCTTGGATATGTCGAGCAGAGGGATACATTCGCTCACGAGGATGAGATCCGTCTGCCCTTTGCCGACGCTTTCGGGAATGTTTGCACTCGCCAGGTCTTCGGCCGACGACTTGACAAACGTCATCCGTTTGATGGAGTCAGCGGGTAGCAGAGCCGGCGCTGCCGCCAACGCCTGCTCATTCACATCCGAGCCGACTACATGATCAAAGTGGCGGAGAAGCTTTTCTGCGATATTGCCGGGACCGGTGCCGACGTCGTGTGCAATTGCGCTCTGGGCAGCACTGTCGCCATGGCTGTGATGATACTCGGAAATGAGTTCAAAGAAACTGTCTGATGGATGAGGCCTGTTTTCAACGTATGCCTTCCAAAAGTCGACGCCGTTTCCAAGGGCGGCAGTCGTGAAAGGGGTTTCCACTTTTGCCGGGTTAGTAGGCGACGGCATTGTGACACAAGAGACAAATGTAGTGTTCGAGGGGTCTAGGATAATAATTATTCAAATCGACTGTCAGTCGACTCATGAAGATTCGGGAGTCATGGAAGAAAACGAACAAATACTACGAAGCTATTTATCACCATCAGGTGTTGTCCTCATAAGTCCCTATGAATTTGTTCAAAAGCTTTTCTGAGCATGGTGTGATATGGTATGTTTTCTCCAGCCGATGACCAGACAGTCAAGTCAGTCAAGAATCTAGAGATGCTAATGGTGTATCGGAGTCTATGGCGGCGTTATGCAAACTTCGGGGTTCCGAAGCTTCTGAGTGGTCAATCACCCCGAGTCAAGGCTGATGTGTAGAAAGACTATTGATTCTCGCACTTCGGAGATCTTATCATTTCCGTATTAGTCATAGTACAACCATTTCCATTTCAAACAAAAGATCTCCTTTTTTATCATATTATTGTACCATTGATGCCTCCATTCTGTGGACATTCTCTAGTCAGTCCAATATCAATCAAACACAAAATTGAATACTACTTCCAAGCTTTGCATGACAATAAATCTTTCCCATGGCTGCCTCTACTGCTGCTCAAGTACAACTTTCTGAAGAGGCTCTAGGCCTGGCACGAATTTTTGAGAACCCGAAAGGATCACTGGAGGCAGCAAGCAAGCTTCTTCAAAAGAACCACGATGAGTTTCACGTGTTCTGGCGAGACGTGGGCGGACACAACCATATCCCGCACTCTGTCTTGTCAATTCTAGCACTCGGCGGCGGGCCAGCTGAGCTTCAACGTGCCTGGGATGACGGTGTAGCCATCCAACGTCCTACTCCTCCCCTCGACGAGGATGTGGTCAAGAAGCTCGAGAACCCGGCCGAGTTTCGCGCCAGGATCGGGAGCATTCCCAACTACACCAATTTCCTGCACTTTTTCAGGAACCAGATGGACAAAAAGGGCTGGCAGGCCGTCGTGTCCGAGTATGCCTTTAGTCGGACACCGCTTGCCGAGACCATCTTTGCGCAGCTCTTTGAGGGCGCATATCACCCCTTTATCCACATTGGTTTCGGGATCGAGTTCAACCTGCCCAGCATCATTGCCGAGGGTCTGGCACAAGCCGCGACTCACGACTCGGCAGGAATCGAGGGCTTCTTCCTTGAAGCCGAACGACAAGCCGCGCAGTCAAAAGGGCCAGGAAAGTCGCTCGTTCAGCTTCTAGACGAGGTCCGGACGACGGAGAAGATCAAGACGGCGGCCCGTCTGCCGGATGGGCCGGTACGGGTTCGCGACGGCGTGATTGGCCGGGCCGGGGCGGAAATTGCAGCTCTTGCCTCGCAGTTCCGCGTTCCGGCTGACCAACTCAGTCGCGGTGCCGCCGAGAGCATCAACATTAGCGCGTACACGGCTGGCGCAGCCCAGCGCGCCGGCAAAGCACGCAAGATTGACTTTTTCCACATGCACAACACGACAAGTTCCCTCTTTCTGACCGTGTTTCTCAACCAGCCCTGGATCAGCACTGAAGATAAAGTGCGCATCGTAGAGTGGAAGGGCCGCCTCGATCTTGTGTGGTACGCAGCCTGCTCGGCCCCGGACCTCAACGTTGATCATGTCATTGGATACAAGCCCGCTCAGAGCGCTGGTTGGGGTTGGAAGGAGCTATACGAGGCCATTAATGTCGCGCACGACGACGGGCACCTAGCCAAGATTGTGCGGGCGTTGAAGAATGGTGAGGAGGTGTCCCGACCGTTTGAGAGCGGCGAGGGCGCCGAGGCGTTTCCCATCAAGGGAGACTCCTGGCTCAAGCTTGCCCAGATGTCCTATGACACGACTCTAGACTTGCCCGACGACGATAAATGGATTTGGGGGGCAGGATTTTTGCCTCTGTGGAACAAGGTTCCAAGCCTGTAATTTAGCGCCTAATTCTGCCAAAGCACAAATGGCTAAGCACTAAACAGCACTTCAATGTTATTTCGAGCAGCAGTAGTGAAGGCCGTTTACAACATGTTTTCTCGTGGTTATTTAGTAGTCAATCCTCAATTTATCATCATGATGATAATAAATGCAAGAAACCGCTCTTGGACATGAGTTTTCTTTTTTAATTAACTGCTATGATTTGATTAGATTTGGAACGATTTCGTGAGTTGTGCCAATGCAATCGCGAGTGAGTCCCCAAGCCGCCATGTCAGGCTCTAGGGTGCTTCTGCGACACTGGGGCCTCTTGAGGATTATACCTAATACGCTGTAAGTGTTATATCAGCCACCATCATATTATTTTTTTTCTTTTCTCCATTAGCCTTGTATCGTCACATTTGAAATAGACAGTAGACTTTATAATAACCTGTACCTAGAAATCCAAAAGCCTATATTCTACTGGGTGGCCCCTAAAATTCTAGTTTAGATGTGCCTCAATGTAGTCCTTAGAAACCAAGTGCAATCCCCAGACATTAACCCCGCAAAAATCCCATCCTGAGCGCCAAGACAATTTTGTCGTTCCTCCAAGCATCCTTATCTACAGGTTCACAACACTTGATATCAAGACAAAGAGAAGAAAAAAAAGTCGTCCCGCGGAGGTAGACTGGCCCATATTTATGTACCCATCACCATGAATTGCTTCAGCAGTGGACCTAGTGACTCGGAATCTAGACTTCTAGATCTAAAGGCCAGAGTCAATCTGGTTGACAATGGTATGGTTGGTATAGCCCCACCAGTCCCTGCAAGTCTGCCCCACGACGCTGGGAATTTTGTACTCGGCAATCTCGTCGGGGCGCTCGAGCACCGTGACGTAGAATCCCGACGACACGTGCCAGGCAACATGGCAGTGCAGCGGCCAGGCGCCCGGGTTGTCGGCGTTGAACGAAATGACCATGTACCCGCCCTGCGGCAGCATGGCCGTGTCGCGCCGGACCGGGTTCTCTGGGTGGTCGACATGGCCGTCCCACTCGCCCAGCCCGACGGCCTCGACGAAAAAGTTGTGCCCGTGTAGGTGGATTGGGTGCGTGCGGATCGCATTGTTATACATGACGATGCGAATCGAGTTGTTGGACCCAAAGTTGTACACGTTCCACTCTGGGTCGTCTGGGTATGAGTTGTTGCCGAGGTTGGAGAGCAGGAGGACCGGGTGGTTGTAGTTGACCCTGAAGGAAGAGTTGTCCATGTAAAACAGGTACTGACCCGTCTCGTTCTGGGCGAGCGTGACATTGATGATTTGGGTGGTTGCCGGAGCCTCGGGAGCTGGAATCGCATACCAAGGGGTGATCTCTTCGGTTGGTAGACCATCGCAGACTCCCAAGGCCTCAATGAAGGAAGGCCACGCCTCGCTGGAGCTGTTGCTAAATGTCGATGTGGTATTGCCATAGTGTACAAGGGCTGTCGCGTCGTGGTCGACACTGTTTGCACAAGGAGCCGGGGGGATTGTTGCCCTCATGGTGTATGTGCCGGTACCGTTGGCAAGTGCCTCGACAATGACATCGGCACGCTGACCAACTCCGAGAGTGAGGACTGTGCTTGGTCAGCATCAACTAGCTCTCCAGGACTCCATCCGTTGACTTACACTCGACCTCGTAAGGAAGGACAGGTACAAAGTCATGTGCAATGACCTGCAGCTTGTGGCCATCAAGACTGAATTTTTGAATAGCGCTTCCTCCAACATTCAGGATTCGAAGGCGATGTTTCTTTCCCGGGGTCAATCTAAACTCGGAAAGTGGAGCATTGCTCTGGCAAGGCGTATCATCGCCCAAATCTTTTAGCGTGCAGTTCCAGGAGTTTCTTCCATTGATCAGATTGTTGTTGGCGGGCTTGGTCTGCCGTATATTAGTTGCATTCCGAGAATCGGCAAATGATTTACTTACAACAACGGCAAAATCCTCGTCAAACAAATGTTCGAGTACTGTAGTGTATGGCACATGGTAGAGATCAGATAACATGATTGGACCCAGGTCTGTTATTCTTGTGAGCGACGAAGTTTACGGAGTGGACACTTTGACTCACCAATGTCATAAGGCACGGTTGGATGGCCATGGACAATGATTGGGCCAAGGATACCATCAGCATACTGTGCAGAGTAATGCGAATGGTACCAGCTTGTTCCATAAGAGTCCGCCACAAAGGTATACGTGAAGCATGCACCCGGAGCAATTGGACATTGCGTAATGCCTGGGACGCCATCTTGCCATCTATCGAGAGTTAGCCAAAATTGAAAAAGCAAGAACAACAACGAGGAAGAGAAAAATTATCTTACGGTGTTTCTTTCTGTAGGAACGCATGCCAGTGCAAAGCAGTACCTTCTTCGAGATCGTTGTGCACAGTGACCTGGATAGTATCACCCCTAACATTATAAGTTATGAATAATCTTCGCTTGATTGCCGAGACACATACCAGTTTGCCTCAATCAAAGGTCCAGGGTACTGATCATTGACCAGGAGCACGTCTTTGAGGTACCCATCAGGGGCTATCTGTCCAGCCTTGATATGAAAATCGTAAGATCGAATTACGCTTGATCAATATTAGTACATTAGGCATCGATTTGACATGAGGATGAGCATATTTACCCGGTAAGTGTGGGTTCTGATATATGTCAGTATGTACGAAGTGTATATGAATATGGTAGAATGAGAAATCTCAAGTCTCCACTTACCTTCGGGGTGACTATCATTGGCTGTTTTTGACCCCCACGGATATCCTTGAGGGAGTGGCTAAAGAAAAAAGGTTTAGCGTTTCTGCAGATATTTGATGGCAGCGGTAGCTAGTGGTGAACGCATCCAGGGTCCCTTGTGCATATGCACGTAGGATACAATTGCTATATCCATGCTATGGAGGCTTCTGGGAGAAAGGGATAGGAGCGTCAATGAGGCGCGAGAACGACTTACTGTGACGGGCTCAGTTGTATACAGATAATCTAAAGGAATGTCTGGATATGATGCTGCAGTATGGGTCTCAGTAACCACTTCTTGATATTGCAACTTGTAAGCTAGCATACGTACCGAACTCAGAAGCCCAAGTCAGGGCGCTCAGGAGACCCGTGAGGAATAAAGATTTCATCTTGAGTCACGCTTGAATGTTCAGACGATCTATGTGCCTCTGATATCTGTAATCGGGCTTCAAAATGATTGCAGGATTCAGAGGAGCATCAGAACTTTTATATCTCAAGGATACAAAGGAGCCTGTAGTGAGTCCCCGGTGAATTTGGCTGCGATGATCTCAAGCGAGATGGTCCATGTACTATTTCCCTTTGCCACATCAAGCAAAATCTGAGCTGACGAGATGGCTCATCACCACCTTGTTAGATAGCATGTCCTGGCATGCTCATAGTGGTGTTGAGGAAACTTTTCCATTTTCCAACTAGTAGAGCAAATCTTCCATATCCTCGTGATAAAAAAGACTCTAGAACAAAGATGGCGTGAAGACGTAAGCCATAATTCATCCTTCGCAAAGCCTTCGAGCCTTCAATAAAGATGTATTCATGCTAAGCCATACCAACTGTTCTGTAGCGAACGTATTTCGATACACTGAAATAGCTAGTTTGGATGTCAATGAACCAATAGCTGATCGGTATAGCCGCGCTGAGGCCCTAAGATACAGAGAACGGGGGCGACTTGAGCAGTATCTCGTGTGGCAGCCACATGGCAAAGACGATTCTAGCGCGCCATGGGATGGATACCGTTCCTTCGGGACCTTGGACCGATGTCCTGTCATCTTAGCCTGCGCCACGCAACATGCTACTCACAATACCAGCTGAAGCCTGAAGCCTCACCTGAAAATAAAATGTCGATTCCTATGCCCGGACCCGAGGAGCTGGGTCGGCTTGACCGCACGTGAGATACCATGGTTATCATGGAAAATTTAGGATATAATCACAGGGTCAAGATCCTTCCAGCAGGAACAATAAGGATTCGCCATAATCAATTAGGTCGAGGGACACAAGACGGCGACCTAAACATAGTACATATCATAGAGCCCGGTAATAGGATCGGAAGCACGGCAGCAGACTGAGAATTTGGCCGGAGCGAAAGAAGACAGCGATAGATTGCACATGTGAATGCCATCAATCATAAGTGTAAATTTTGAATAAACTAAGATGAGGTTTAGATACTGATATACTCCTTCCAGAGCCACGTCAAAGTCACGTATGACTTGCTGGCTTGGCTATAAACGCGTGTGCCATTGCAATACTACACTGTTCGTGCCTTGCAGCGGGAGGTTTTCACAAACCTAATGAACCAAATGAAGGCAATGCCACGTGTCAGTGACCCATCTCATTAGTCATGATGCATCAAGGCAGGCCCAAGCAAAATTTTGGGCTATTCGTACTTGCAGCTGTATGACTGGTGGGGTAGTGACTATAGTCAAATACCTTGGTCATGCAAGTGCCGACTGAGCGCGATGCCGACTAGACGCGATGCCAACTCAACGCGATGCCGACTCAACGCGATGCAGAAAGAAGATTCCCACGTCAAAGACATGTGGAGATGGCGCCACCGCCTTGATATTTCTGGCAACCGAGTCTCTCCCTGAAAGCATATGGGTTCCTCGTACGGATCATTGCTGATCAATGATTACACAAGGTACCCAATCCAACGCGCCTGCTTACCTTGCCGGCTACACGACTACCTGTCCATTTGCCTATCTGAGCACTGATGCAGTGTCGCATATCAACTCATGGGATATGTATATTGCGTGATAGTCAGCAAGAAATGTTACCCGAGCAGGCAAAACCACAATGCCCAGGGGTCTTCTATAAGCTTACGAAAGATGGGTTCACTAGCGTAGCCGCAGCTGCTAACCAATCACAGTGGGAACCGCCGCGCGCTCAGTCTCCCGCCCAAGTAGCCAATCATAACCTTAAGCGCGGGCTTGTTGGAGTTCTCGGTGTGTACCTAAATGCTTACCTGGGCGCTCGCCCTCTGCAAACATACATACCTACCTAGGAGTATGGTCCTCTATAGATGCCCAAAGTCCCTCCGGCATAATGACCTACACAATTTGAGGGGGTGACACGACATGGCTGGGACTGAATCCCTCTGACTTGGTGCTTATCATGCAAGTTCCGGATGAAAAGCGATACATGACCACAGGTACCTGTACGCTACTCTGTCCCACCCCAGCAACCCCCTAGCCCTCCGAACTCTCAACCCCCCTTCCAAGGTTGCCCCAAGAAACATTAAGCATGGTCAATGAGCGGGCCGCTGGTTGATTTTCTCAGGGTCCCGCCAGCGGTATGGAGCCCCATTGGCCCCAACGGCGGGAGCCATCATAATTCGGATATCCTTCCTTGTTCTAGATTCCGTGCTTGCGCACGCCATATTCAGCTGGGTAAGCAATGAATAATTTGGCATGATATTCAACTTAGATAATCAATCTTTTGCTGCCTTCCTCAGCGGTCTGGCACTTGATTGGCTCCTAGCAGCGGCTGTTGTGGTCGTTGCGGGTCCTACTGCCCACCTGAGTCAGCCATGCACAATCAAAAAGTCAATACGACTGTATCACAGAAAGCGTCGCATCAAATCTCAGCCATCATTTTGGTAGGTTCTGGTAGGTCTTGCTTTTTGTTTCCCCTTTCGCACTTTCCCCAATGTTATGATTCTTCCATTGCTTTCTAAGCAAGGGTCAGCAGAGGCTCTTACCGTGCCTCCCTTATTGATAATCTCCCTTCTGTCTTGGTGGTCTGGAATGTGCATTTGGTCCCAGTATTTGTCCTCCTTTATCTCACCTTCTCTCTTTCTTACCCACTCAGCTGATCTAAGCACCGGCAAGGCTTTGTTGATGCGCAATTCTCCTCGGCAATTGGGGAAAGGCATATCATACATAGGGAGTACTTCATCATCATGAGCTTTATTCTACAAACATTTCTAGACATCTTCGGCGCGGCCTTTCACATCTTTACTGCAAACTATTTTCGACAAGAGCTCCCCGCTCCAGACCTCTCCTCGCAAAAGATGAAGCACATTGTCATCATTGGTGGCGGCTTTGCCGGTGTCAGCACCGCCCACCGCTTCCTCAAGAACGTCGGCAAGAGCACTACGGCGCCCTACAAGGTCACACTCGTGTCGCGCGACAGCCACTTCTTCTGGAACATCGCGGCACCGCGCGGCATCATCCCCGGCCAGATCCCCGAGGAGAAGCTCTTCCAGCCCATTGCCGAGGGCTTCTCCCAGTACGGCCCCGACAAGTTCGAGTTCGTCCTCGGTACTGCGACCGACCTCGACGTTGGCGGCAAGACCCTCGTGGTCGATGTTGACGGCAAGGCAACCAGGATTAGCTACGACTACCTCATCATTGGCAGCGGCTCGCGAACAAAGATTCCCGGACCCTTCAAGTCGGACGGCTCTACAGACGGGGTTAAACAGACCATACACGATTTCCAGGAGCGTGTCAAGGCTGCCAAGACAATCGTGGTTGTCGGTGCAGGCCCAACTGGTGTCGAGACAGCTGGCGAGTTGGCATTCGAATATGGAACTAGCAAGAAGATCATTCTTGTAAGTTGACACTACCATCATGACCATGTACATTGCTCCACCTCATTGACCCGCTATCGTAGATCTCTGGCGGACCTACTGTCCTCGAAAACCGACCAGCAAGTGTTACCAAGACCGCGTTGAAGCAGCTCGAGACACTCAATGTGGACGTCAGAGTCAACACCAAAGCCAAGGATCCGGTGACGCTGCCCGATGGCAAGAAGGAGCTGACTCTCTCGGGCGGCGAGAAGCTCGTGGTTGACCTATACATCCCCACCTTTGGAGTGCTCCCCAATTCCTCATTTGTGCCGTCGCAATACCTCGACAGTAATGGCTTTGTCCAGGTCGACCAATACTTCCAGGTCAAGGGCGCCGAAGGTGTTTTTGCCATTGGTGACGTGAGTGATTCGGAAGCTCCTCAATTCTGGTTCGTCGAGAAGCAGTCCGTCCACATTGCCAAGAACTTGATCCTTTCTCTGAGCGGCAAGGCTCCAACCCCTTACAAGGCCTCCGCTACTGGTAAGTTAAGAAGATTGCGTCTAATCGAAAGCGACTATGCGCTGACTATTTCTCGTTGCAACAGGTATGATGGGTCTGCAGATTGGCAAGAATTCAGGCACGGGCCACTTTGGCAACTTCAAGCTGCCAGGTTTCCTTGTCAAAACTATCCGCAAGACGCTCTTCGTTGAGAACCTTCCCAAAACCGTCGACGGATCGATGCTGTGAGGAAGGAGTCCCCAGCCGAGGAGAGGACAAGTCTTTGTGTTGTCGCACCAATAATCACTCCCTATAATACCCCTGCATTTTTCATAATTAATCCGATGTCATTATATAGTTATACCCAGTCATCGACTGCGATTAGGAAAATTGATTTCACTGTCCACTGTTCGCGGCGCAATCTCTCATGGTATAACAAGTGACCGGCATGTTCACAGAAATAATAGGTATTTGTGCTGGCCCATATCGAGGACATCATTCCAGGTATAGTCGGTAGACGTCTGTCTTTTACTCCATATCTCTTCCAGAGCTGAAAGAACATCTTTACGGTGCCTATACAGACGATGTTGCGATGTATCAGAGGCTAGCGAGGCCCGGAATAAGCTCTGTTCGTCGCCTTGAGCAGCAACGCATCCGATGATGAAGAGTGGTGCGACAATGACTGGAATCATACTGCAGGGCACTTGCGATTGCAAGAGCCGGATAGCATCCGCAATAGTCTCCCTCAAGTTGTCTAGCCGTTCAAAGTCGTGTGTGACCAAATGGAGATGGATGATAGCCATGAATGCAAACATCCTCGTGGTAAGAGTAACAGAATTGGTTGATGAATTATTGATTCCACAGGAATCGCTTGTTTGAATATTGAGACTTTCCAATGCTTCTCTCGCCATACCGCTTTCGATTTCAGATTTGATATCTGCAGCGATAGAATGGAGTTTTATACCGTGACGTTGACTGGTCCACCCATCTTGTCGGCGATGTCCCTGCAGCGCGGCAATGCGACCAATCTGGCACATCAACCAATTTTTGCAGCCCATGATATTTTCAAGTTTTACTTGAGAGGCGGCATCGAGTACGCCTTGATGATAAGACAACAACCTCGGCACCGATCCGGCTGCAAGAGATGACAAAATGTCGAGCCATATGATGGAACCGCCCATGAACCGAAATGTTGTAACTTCTTGAGTCACCAAAGCGCCATCAACTGCAAGTCGTTGATCATTACGTAAAATCGTCTTGGAAGCTTCCGACAAGTCAAGGTGTTCTAGTTTATCCCGACAATTTTGGTCATACACATCAATGGCTGCATTCAGATGTGTTCTCCACGCGTGGTCTTGACCGGCGAAGAGCTTTGAAGAGATTTGTCAGTATATGAACCAGGAAGTAAAGCATGGAAAAGGTGCAGCTTACCTCGAAGAAGACCAGCTGTACAATGGAAGTCACAGTTCCCATTCCATCATAAGACTTTCGTTGTCGAGTACGTTGATCAAGAATCACCATGGCCTGCCGGACCTCGTTCAGACACGTCTCGAGGTGTTTCTCTTGCTGGACCGCGGCAGTGGCACGGCATTGCTCGCTTATCCTCTCAAACACGAGCATCCGGCGGTGGTACGAGCTGAGCGCTAGAGCCGCGTGATATAGAGATTTTGTTTGGAGTAGGAGTGCCAATAACCAGCCTCTGCCTCCCTCTAGTATGTCTGGGCGGTACATGGGATACTGCAATGGGAATACCTTGTCGAGGAAGTGCATCAAAAGGATGGAATCCTCGGCAGGAATAGTTGCTATGGTCAGGTGCTGGGCGCCATTTGGCGACAGCGGTGACTCCTACACCAGGTCAATATTACACGTGACATTGTATTTGCTGTGCTGGGCACTTACGGCTGTGTCATAGAAGCCATTATCAGACGGAGGGGTAGTTTCGGTAGAGTGGCTCGTGTTGGTACTGGGTGTAGAGGCAGCCGCATGGACCTTGGGTGCCAATTTGGGGTTTGCCTTTTGACCGGGAGGGACACGGTACCGGGAGGAGGTGCGCCTCGATGTGTATCTGACAATGTGCTTGAGGCTGTTGGCCACATCCTTTTCGGCGTCGCCATTGTCCATCCATTCCGGCTTCGGCCCGTAGCCGTAGCAGGTGATGGACAGCGCTTGACAAGTGGTGCATTCTGGCTTGCCCTCGTCGCACTTCTTGCGGCGTAAGCGGCAGGTCCAGCAGCCTCCCTTGCTCCGCACGGGATTGCTCATAATTGTCGATTGGAAAATAGGACTTCAAGCTGCAGTAATGTTTCCCGTTGGGCATAGAGAAAAGGCGGGCTTGGTGTTGCACGGCTTGGAGCTTCTCGCACGACTCTTGACTTCGATGGCTCACTTGCTGCTGTCAGGGAAATGAGACACAGTCAAGATAAAACACGGCGCGGGGGGCCATTTGTCAGAAATGCAGCTCAAGTTGCTGCCGACGCCGACCTACCAATCATGATCTGGTCAGCATGAGCCACACACGAAGCGAGACATTGCAGGCGAAAGAGATGCCCCGATGGCATCCTTGAATAAGATGTGATCAAGCCACTTTCCATCCCCTCTCCAAAGATGTGTCAAGTAGGTACTAAATAGCTAACCTTAGGTACATACATTGCGCCATTGCTTACTTGAAATTGGGTCATGTCTTAGTTGGAATACATGCTACCACCCTCCAAAAATTGCTGGACTACAGGGACACTAAGCTCTCCACAACAGCGCCGCACAGCCGTACCCAATAAAAACCAAATCCACTAAAGACAGTACTGTACGATCAGCCAACTAGCGCTGCGTGTGTACCTAGGGTTATATGGCAAGCAATTTTGGATGAACAAATTGAGTCAAGGAGCAATAAGCCTCATGATACCAGCATGACGACACAAGCACACGACAATGCATCACCGACTCATTTGTATGTGTTGAACATGTATTGTTTCTAAATGCCTGCCAACCGGCAAGTTATAAGATGGCCATTTAGGTCTACGCAATCATTCCAAGCCCCAAGGACAATCTTTTAGGCTACTTGATGGATGCTCTTGAGCACCGCGGCAGCTCGTGAAGCTGTGCCATTGAGCAACGCCTTTTCACGCTTGTATAGACCAATGTTCCCATGCTCAAGCTTGGCCGAGTACCCGTCAATCATGTCGCCAGTAAAGTGCGTCAGATTGAGCTCATCCTTTTCGCGCTCAAAGGTGCGGTTCACAATGTTGCCGAGGATGTGCACTTCTTCCGGGGTCAGCTTTTCAAGCAACTCGGGCTCGGCTTGGGATCGTTCAATCTTGCTAATCACAGCGGCCTGCTTTTCTGGCGTGATCTCAAAGCTTTCGAGCGAGAAGTCGACGGCTTCTGCTGCCCTCCTCTGCGTCTGTTCATCTTCCGTCCGAGTATCGGCCACGCCTTGAATGACTGGCTGGATCTTCTTGAAGGCCATGTCGAAACCCTCTTCTTCGTCGGTGGAAATGATGTTTTTATCTTTCATGCGTAGCTGGCGCTGCACCGTCATGACAAGTAGCAAGAACCGCGTATAGCCCTCGGCGACTTTGGTGGTGTGCCACTTGGCCCCGGTCAATTCGTCGCACTGTCCTCGCCGGACTGCCTGTATAGACACACTGGCCGACAGCGCAGATGTCATGGCCAGGTGGCATCCCGACGAGAAGTAAGGGTCAACAAAGCACCCGGCATCTCCAATCAGACGGAAGTTTGGTCCTGCGTATGCCGAGGCACTGTACGACCAGTCCGTTGCCTGTTTGATGTCGGACACAATCGTGGCATCGCGGAGCAACTCGTTCTTGATTTGCGGCGCGAGCTTCAGATATTCTTTGTAGAACGCCTCACCACTCAAGCCGCTCTCCTTTTTCTTCTCAAAGAAGGCATCCTGGCGTGCCACGACACCAACGGAAATGGTATCATTGTGTAGCGGGATGGCCCAGACCCAACCACTACCATCTAGTTAGACGCGTTTATTAGCACATTCACGGCTTGACTGTAGTTCTTTTAAGTCACATACCCTTGAGAGCCTCAAATAGAGGCGAGTTCTCATTCTTTTCACCGACATTGAAGCGCTTTGCACCTTTCCAATAAGTCCAGTTGGCAATGTTCTTGAGGCCCTGGTTGAAAGAGCGATTTTTCAGGTATTTTGTGGAGATGAGACCGTTTCGCCCACTGCCGTCGATGATATAGTCAAACTTGATGACACCAGAGCTCCCATCCTTGCGGGACCAATTGGCCGAGACAGGTCTTCCAGGGTTGGCAAGATGGACACTCTCGTCAAACCCCTCGTGCGGGTAGGGTTCAAACGTGAGCGACTCGACCTTGGTGCCATCAAAGGTTTTGGCACCACATTTGCCGGCGTAGCGGAATATTATCTCATCTGACTCGGATCGGACTACATTCCACGAGTAGCCGCCCTCGCCCAGGGAAGCGGCAAAGTCAGTGTCTGTTCAACTGAAGTTAGCAGTTGTATGGGAGAGTCCGAGGAGGTGAGTTCTCACAAGCCGGGTTCTTTTCTGTAATCTTGAATGTGGCTCCGTACTTCTTTTCGAAGCCATGTCGGTCAAACTCTTCCTCGAGCTCAACGAAACGTAGAAAGAAGCGTATAGAAGCCAGCATGCTCTCTCCAATGTGATATCTTGCGACTCACGTTAGTACCGTTTGCCAAGTATCTATCCACTAACGCACCTTGGGAACTTCTCTGCCTCCAGCAAAACTACATCAACGCCTTCGCGAGCCAAGACAGTGGCAGCATAAGACCCAGCCGGGCCACCGCCGACAATGAGAACGGAAGTCTGGGCAGGAACAGACATGACGAAATACACAGTCTTCAACAAATTGACAGAGTTGGTACGCAATGTAATATTGAAATCTATATGTCCCAGGACTGGAGATTCGAACAAATCCACTACCTCTGATCTTCAACGACTATATGACTTCCTAACGTCTACTAATTTCCCCAGTCGCCACCCTATAGCTACTCCAAAGGTCTGATCTAGTTCTATTACTATCCAATGTCCGATGTTTAGGGACCGTCATAGTCGCGGGATGACTTCAGCCGAAACGGGACTGCTTAGACCTTAGTCCTGCAGCTCGGAGCAGGAATATTTTGAGGCCAGCTTGAAGGAATGCGCGAGTGGTGCGCCTCCCGAAATTGTCCGAAATGTCCGAAATCGCGGCACAATACTTTTGCATAGCACGACCCAAGTTTGGTCGGGTCAGCAAAGTAATGACAAGAGTATGTGCCGATTTACACACTCTTCAGTCCGAAGGCAGTCAAGACCGAATATTTGTCTTTGCGTGAAGTCAAGCACCTCAACCTTAACACTATTTCTCGATGTCTCATACCAATCAATCGTACATCTTTTTCATGATAGGTTTACAAGCAGTGTGCCTTTTCTAACTTTACTAATAAAATAAAAAGGTATAAAAATAAGAGAATACGAAATTAAAAGAGAAAAAAAGTGTACTATAAGAAAAAAAAAAGAGAAAAGAATAAAAGAAAAAATAATTTGTTTTATTATTTATTTCTTTTAATGTTATAATTCATTATGATTTTTTTGTTATAGTCACCGTGGGGTGAGCGTATAAGGACAAAATCGGGGGTTTTCAACTGTTTGGCCTCTGGTGCTCCGTATCGTAATAGTGCGCTACAACGAAGCTTGGATACACGCTGCAGGATGCTAAGCTGTTAGAAAGTTGGGGGGTGGGGGCTTTATCGTAGCATCGGAATGAGTTACTCAGACCACTAAGATTTGGTTGACAAAACTATATATATATGCAGCGCGTTATTGCCAATACTCAATACTCATATGGAACTATGATCCAATTTTCAATGAAGTTTTTAGATTGGGATCAATTCTCTAGTATTATTCCAATATTAATTAGATCTTCTCAATGATACTCATACAAAGACACTACCACCACCTAGTCACTATCTGTATCTGAAGACTCCTCAGACGCGTTTTGGTCAGTTATCGGCTGAGGCTCCACTGATTTTCGAATTTCACCTCTCATGATATCAACATTCAGTGCACCGAATCCGCTCGCTGAATCTTGTACGAACAGAGATTCATCTGCAATCTTTCTAACACGCGAGCTTCCAAGCGTGGCAGTAACGAGGATCTTGACAATAGGCCCGTGCTCTTTCTTGACGATTCGACCCAAGCGGTTGATGACTTTGTCCTCGTTTGTCGCACTGCCAGAAAGGCGCGATAGTGAATCGATCACGATGAAGACCTTGTCGTCCTCGGGCAGAAGCTCAATCAATGTGCCGAACAGTTTGAGGCTTTCTTTCAAGGACTTCCTCGCTTTCCGGAAGTATTCGAGATCCTGGATCTTGGATAGATCCACCTGAGGCCGAAATTCAGCCACAAAGGCCAGTAACTGGGCATTAAGGCTTTTGATGAGAGCGATCGAGCCCGAATTCTCCTCGGAATGATCGTCATTGTTCCGGTGCATACAAAAGAATGCCAGGATTGCGTATCGAGCCGGCAGTCGAAGAGTCGTGACCAAAAGCGCGCTGGCAAATGAGACGGGATTAATCAAAGACTCAGCCGGAGTCGCTGGCTCAACATTGAGAATTCTTGATTCGTCTGCCTCCAGCCATTTACCGATCTGTTGTGAACGGATTATTGAATTCGAAACGTTCTTTTCATCGCTGCTGAGCATCTCCAAGTGTTCAAACAGATAGGTTAAATCAAGCTTTGAATCATACGGAAAGGCCTTGAGTCCTTTCAGCCAAGCCGCAGCTATGCGTTCGTTCGTTTCGCCATAAGATCTTCTAATCTCAGCTTCCTGTTCGTATTGTTTGCGCTTAAACTCAAGAAGGTTTGCTTTAATGTGAATTGTTAGAAAATGATGACCTAGAAAATATGGGCTCATAAGTCTCACCCCCGCCACCTTTGTTATCGAAGCTTGGATCGCTTGCGCAAACTCGATAAAATGCGTCTCTGATTTCTACGGAGAGCATTTGCACGGTCTTTTCGGTAAAGTCGCGACCGGATGACGCAATTGCCTGTATCAATGTGCCCAACACTGTTTGATAAGCGTGGACGGTCAGATGGCTTGACGAGATCAAGCCGTGTATTGGTTTACCTACATCTGTTGTTTTGTTGCAACATGTGAACCAGACCGACTTGGCCTCTCTTAATATCAGTAGTGTCGTTCTTGATCTCCCCAAGTCGCTCATGACCGCATAAGTCGACTTCCTTTTGAAAACGGTCTATCTGCATCTGAAGAGCGGACAAAGCGTCGTCCACAGCCAATATTGGTTGCTTCTGCTGATCCTTGATAGCGTCGTTTGATGCTTGCGCGTCAATAACGGATGCGATATCCGCCTGATCCCCTGATCTTCGTGAGAGTTTCGAGAGTTTCCTGGAAAACTTCGTGGTACTTTCTGCGAGTCTCACTACCTTCTGTTAGACAATCACATCCGTCATCAACGAGAGTGAATCACCTTTCAAGGTTCGCGTGATCTTGTCCACAATACTCTCAAGGACAGAAAAAACGGCAGTCATGACCGCATCGGCGCACACATGGAGGCGAGCTGAGGCGTGGTGGATGTCTGCGAATCGTTGTATACTCTCCAACTTCTCGGGTATCGCAGCCAAGAAGCCTTGGAGGGCCTCGCGCTGTTCGGCGTGGTGCTCGATGGCCTAGGAGTACGACACAAATTAGGACTATATCTTTTCTTACAGAATTGGGGACATATTCACTGTTAGGATCAGACTGAATCCACCAGACAGGACAGAGCCGTAAATGTCGCCTGGGAGCATCTCAAGTATGCCTCCAATGACACCCCTGTTGTCTTCCACTTTTCGAAAGCAGCGCCGAATGAAGTTCTTGCAAGAGTTGGAGTTGGGCGCATCTCTTGCATCCTTCAACTTATTCACAATGCTGAGGACATATTCGAAGTTGAATTCAGACGGGTCTTTCAGGGAGATACCTAGCTGCTCCTCAATTCGCCTCTCTTTGAGAGTTGCGACAAGACGGCGCAGTGTCACGTCGCGAAATGCTTCCATGGATGATTCAGACTGTGTATAGAATCTTGCAACGCTACATTTATGTCAGGGGCCGGGGGAATGAAAGCTACAAGTATCATGACATACTCAAATTTAACGCCTTTGGAAGCAAATCTGTCAATCTCAGTGATGAACTCCGCATTATCATGGAACTCTTCGATATCTCCCGATGCCAACACTTGATTGATGATTTCTAACCCCCCTCTCCCTTCCACAAACTCGGCAGCCGAGTTTGTGAGTGTGCGCCGACGATACAAGAGAGGATCAAAAGTTTCCATGATAAGAGTAGCCAAAGCCAGAGAGGTGATGATTGATTACAATGATGAACTTGATAGTGGAGACCGATGCAAGCTCGGGATGGCCAAAAACCAAGAGCTTCGCAGTAAGAAGTCATGAGTAGCCACAGCAGATTTCGCGAGTCATCAAGACCAAGCAATGGTGTTACACTGACATGGTTGTACCTGAGCTTGACTGGCCGGTTCGAAGGGGCCGATAAGGCTCTGGGATTATGCACACATCCATGAATAGACCAAATGCTACCCGAATTTATTGGCCACTAATGTCCCAAGTGTCGTCCATGGTCTGGCAATCCGCTACGGAGGTTGTCAGCTTTTCAGCTTTGCTCGGCGGCTGCAACCTGTTAGGCCACACCGGTCTTACCCCGCGTGCGCTTTGTTGCAGCAACAGCGCTTGAAGCCTCCAATTGTATTGTCAATGACCACAGCCTTATGGTCTTTTCCATCAGTATTGATGAAGCAGCTGACCGGATATATCGCAGCCTGCTTCTAAGCGATCTGATTCTGTGACACGATCCAATAGTTTTCTGGCAGCACGCACTTTTACGATTACGTGCAGGGCGCTATTCATGCAATGCGCCCTAACACTGCAATCACTCCAATCAACTATTCTATGTTAGCTAATTCTTATGGAGCAGACGCAACAATTGAACGCATTTTCTTCGCAGCTTCCGTTGCGGTCCCAAACAAATGACAATGTCCCATCGCGCTCGTTGATAAAGCGACGACCGCAAAACTGCATGGCCATAAGCCTCTTCACGTAAAGACCCAAGCATGAAAAAGGGTCAACGCAGATGCATATTGCATTTTCAATCGTGAACCCATTTCATCCGTCGCACAACAGTCTTCCACAATCTTCTTCCCGCAATGGCCAGACTCATTCATTGATTTCCACGAGACCATTCTTCTAGCATTGATTGGTTGGAGGATCAGGCTCTTTCTAGGATACTGTCCATTTTCTTGACCTTACCTCTATGTTTACCTATCTTGCGCACAGTGACTATCCTACACAACGTCCAAGATGGATGACTCGGCCGATGCAGAAGCCTTCCAGGAAACAGCGAAAGTACCACAAGTGATGGAGCCGACCCCGGCCGCAGCAAACGAAGCTCATGTTTCCGTTGCCGTTCAAGAAAACAAAGCAGAGTCCACCAAAGCCGACTCAAATGTCGCAGGTGACACAGAGCAGGACCAAGATCACAAATCAAACGCCGGGAGCGACTGGGAAACTGAAGAGGATGCCTCCGCTGCTGCATCTGACTCTTCTTCAGACTCTGAGGCAGAGAGCATTGCAACGCTTGATGACATGCAACGTCTACAAAACGACTGTGCGAAACATTTTACTTCGGAAACATTTTTCAATGCGTACACTCAAAGACTCAAAGAAAAAGCCAGAAACAGACGAGGAAAAAACCAAGGTTCGACTCTTGTCAAAGGTTTGGTCGACTATATGCGAACCCTGGAAGAGCGGATCAGCAGCTTGGAAGAAAGCCAAGATGCCGGAAGTGAAGCCAATACAGAACCAGGTCATGTTGAGACAGATATCTATGATGCACAAGTAAAGCTTGACATCAAGTTCTTCGACGAAGCAGCTTACACATATGATAATATATTCTATGCCCAAGCACACAGCAGGGAAGAAAAGGGGACGTTCAGTAAGTGGTTCTCATTATGTGCTCTCAGATGATCGTTGATATCAACCATCAAACAAGCAACAGCGATACGGAAGACCACGTGTTGACCTTATCCAACATTCATGGCGTCAGCTGACTTTCACATAGTGTGTGGGCACGATGATCAACATTTAATTCGCGTGCTGTACTCCAAGCATGCAGAGGCCAAACCGAAGCCACAGAAGCTTGGGAAACTGGCTGATCCTGATCCACCCAACCCCAGCGAAATCAACATGCTGCTTTGCAATATATCCTCTAAGGCTATTGCCAGATTCTTTGTAAAAATACTCAATTGTAATCCCACCGATGTGATCAGGTTTGGAAATCCCTTTCGACCAATCATCGGGAATATCGGGCTCATCAGAGATCATCTCCGCAAACTGGAGGGGCTTTATGGGTGAGTCTCAGATATTCTCCAGTCACAATTAACCGCTGAACCACATCGCAAAAGTGGCAGCTCCAAACCTAGCCAATGGTGGTGTGAAATGATATCGCAAAACACCTTTATGCACATCCAGATCTAATATTGTTCTTAGTGAGGCTGCAGCTGAAGGCTCATCGGAAGCCCAAAGGAACACCAATGGCGGATCTACGCCATCCAATAGTTCCATCAACCAAAAAGGCTCCGACGCGGCAGACTTTCCCTTTAACGACGGTCAAATCGACAATGTACAAGCCTATGATCAGCCCGCAGCCCTTCAGCATTTCAGACTCTTCTTGGATTTCGTCGACAAGTACCTGGGCGACAAAATTGCATTGTACGACCGTCTACGCAACGGAAAAGAGCAACAAATTGCCTTTGTCAATCTTTGGATGCTTTTTGATGTAGGTGACACAATCTACTGCCCTTCACGTTCAAGTGCAGGCGAAGAGTACGCAAGACCGGGTCTCGACCAATCGCCCCACGTGCCTGTCACACGGTATACTCCACAAGCATACCGAGTAGTAGCCACAGATGGTGGTATGCCTCATAGAAGTACTATAGGTTTTCCCACTTCAGGTGCAGCCAACGATGGCTTGGATACCACCACATTCAGCGCGACTATGGTGAGTGCTGGAGACCCAGCCATTGAAACGATGAAAGCAGCCGCAAATATATCTAGAAAGATCAGGAGCGCGTATGGTTCTTTCGTTGTATATTGCTTTTACGTCGATTTCGATGGTAGGCGCTACGGGAAAGTACGCGATGTGTTTGTTTTCAAACCATACGAGCGTGAAATGGATATCCGTGGTCTTCAGGCATATCCTATGGCGTACGCACCATCCAATGACCTTCATACCCGTGGCCAAAGATTTCTCGAAGCCACAAAGGTTTCTCACCTCCAATACGAGGGTCTCACCGTAGGACCTCTACGCGAAGAAGTGAGTCACCATTTCTGCGGCCGGTGTTGACTTTGATGTGCTTTAAGACTAATAGTTTCAATTTATAGATCAACAGCCCAGTAGTAGTTGACATAAAATTGGCATATGAAGGGGGACGCGACATTGCAGAGGCTTTGATCAAAGTCCCAATTATTTCTCCAGGGGTGCGTGATGCAGTTGTATGGATGCCTGGGGTCTTTGAGGCTTCCCACAATATCTTTGGCAAAAGACCTTCCTGCTCGCATAGATGGTGCATTTCACTACAGTGTACCTATGATTGCTACAATACAGGTCAGGCAACCCAGGGGCACAAAATGTTGACCGATGCCGATCTCGTACTTGAGGAGTATGAAAGTGAAATGTTACGGGGTCTGGAGGGGCTTGCTCAGTTCACACAGCTGATGGCCGAGAGGAACTTGGTCGAACTGTTACCTGGCATGATTCCAGGCTTTGCACTGAGGAACAGGAAATGGGGTGGGTAAAGTCACAGTCCATCTTTTTCGGTTGAGTTGCTAACATGATTGATGCAAAGTCCTCCTCGACATCTCTCGGCTGGAGCGCGTTGAGCAAAATAACGAGTGGGACAACCTTGTTCTCCCACCAGGCCATCGAGAAATGGTTCAAGCTATGGTAGAAACCCACACACAAGATTTACAATCTAATCGAGACTCTCGACCGGGCATGGATCTGGTGAAAGGAAAAGGTAACTTACGGACTCGTACTATCAAAACACCTTTAAAGTTGCTGATTCTTGCCCAGGAAGGGGTTGTATTATTCTCTTACATGGTGTTCCGGGTGTAGGGAAGACTTCCACCGCAGGTAAGACATCTCAACCTATATGCAAGAGGATAAAAGAAAGAAAGAAACTGATTATTGAGCGAAAAATTGCAGAATGTGTTGCTGCTCATACCAAGAAACCTCTGTACCCCATTACGTGCGGTGACGTTGGCTACAAGGCCGAAGATGTTGAGAGAAACATGGAAAGCCACTTCAAGCTAGCACACAGATGGGGGTGTGTTCTCTTGTTGGATGAAGCCGATGTGTTTCTTGCGAGGCGTGACGTAAGATTGCCATATCATATCCTCACTATAAGAGCACAGTAATTCTGACCAGGAACAGCAAAAGGATGTCCAGCGGAACGGACTGGTATCAGGTACGTCAAGCGATAAGTGGCATTGGTTTGTACAAGAATGTACTAACAGAGCATCCAGTTTTCTTGCGAATTCTGGAATATTATTCTGGAATTCTGTTCTTGACAACGAATCGGGTTGGCGATATTGACGAAGCGTTCCGCTCTCGTCTGCATCTGACCTTGTATTACCCCAAGCTAAAAAGAAAGCAAACGAAAAAGATCTTCAAGCGGAACTTTGAAAGAATCAATGATGTGAACCAAGGGCGCACGGAGCATGGTATTCCGCCGTTCATTTACAAGGACTCTGAGCCGAAGATCATGCAATGGGCTGGAGAGACGTACAAAACACTGCAATGGAATGGTCGTCAAATTCGCAACACATTCCAGACCGTTCTGGCTCTAGCCGAGTTCCATGCGAAGCAGCGCGACGGCGATGCATACTCACCGGTGGTGACCAAGAAACTCTTCAAGATTGTAGCCAACGCCGCGATCCTCTTCAACGAATACCTGGCAGCCACTCACGGCGCAGATCAAGACAAGATGGCACAACAAACTTACATCAGAGCAAACTCATTCGAACCGTCGAAAGAGCACCGTTTCACCAGCCTCGCAGATGACACATCAGAGTCCAGTTCCCAGGAGGATGACAGCTCAAGCAACGATTCAGGCAGCGATTCCGATGAGTCAGACTCGAGCGACGACGCGCAGGAGAGCATGAAGAAGTCAAGTAACGCCAAGAAGGGCAAGCAATCGAAGAGAAGCTCCAGAAAGAAGCGGAAGAGTTCGGCCAAGGAGAAGAAGTCGGAAAAGAAATCGAAGGATAAGAAGAAAGAGAAGAAGAAGGATGAGAGCAGTGATTCTGATTCATAGTTTGGAGGAGTCGGGTACCTATACATGCACCGGAAGTTTGCAATATTTCCTTAAGATATGGTTTTTTTAAAGATACGTTTAATTGATTTGACGAGACAATTCACGGACCTGAGTAGGAAAACGCATTAGTTGCCCATGAACATTCGGGCTTGATATAGCAGAAGACTGCGCCCAGAATGCTCTCGATGCTTGACTTACGGCTTTCTCGGTTGCATGAATTTATATAACGCTCGCACTATTCACATCATATTTATCCGTTTACATACACTCGCAGTCATGGCATCTCGATTTGGCTCGGGTGGACAAGATGCATACTAGGTACAGAATCAGGCAGGGAAGCTTAAGGGAGCAAAAAAAAAAAAAAAAAAAAAAAAAAGAACCTGCGATTTGGTTGGAAAAGACATTCAAACACGACGATGATAAG